CCTGCTCTTCGGTCTATATTTCTTAATTCGAACATGACTGTATTCACGCCTTCTATAAACTGTGAACAAAGTCAATATTTCATCCGAGGCATATTAGCGAGCAATAACCCTGGTAATACGAGTAATGTGTGACGTCATAACGGTGGACCGTAGTAATGGCGGACCATAATGAATATTCGAAACATTTTGGTGAGTTTTCATGTTCGAATCGTAATTTAGACCTCAGATCACCGGTGTAATATCGTCGAATACATCCCTTAGGGCCAGGCACAAAAGCTGTCGAACTCCTCACTCCTTTCGGCCGTTCGGGGTACAGAAAACGTTTATGCCTAGCCCTGCGGGGTGTATTCGACAATATTACCCCTGCTCTTCGGTCTATATTTCTTAAATAAATGTTAAGAACTTTAAATTGAGATAAAATATTCATGTTTTGATTATATTTTTGTTTGTATCTTTAATGGTCCCTCGGGTAGATATAATTATTTGTATTTCCCTAAGATATACCCTGTATCAAAAACCTACCATTAAATAACCTCTATATCTTCAATTTCAATTTTTTAGAGAATATCAATGAATAGATAGAAATAAATATTCAATTCTCCATTTTTAGACTATGGGCTAAAAAAGTCCTTTCCTCAAAATCGTCTCAGTGCTTTTAAGCTGCAAAGGAAAACAAAAAATGCAGTCAAAATGAAATATACTAATGTGTATTTAGCATGTTTATTTGTAATTCCAAGCAATATATTTCTCTTGCCGTTCTCCGAGCTGATACGACAATGAGCTACAATAGCAACAAAAAATAAAAATGAAGATATGGGAGGAACTGTTTAAAACACATCGTGCCTTTAGAAGCATCTAACTTTGATTATTCCAGTGAAATACATCCCAACGAACGGCCGCCCGTTAGTAGCAACGATTATTGAGATCCAAAATGTGGTTGTGGTTTATGGGTCACATACTGTTATTTCACTGCATTCACGAGATATGAGAACATTTTTAGCGATTTATTTCAGAAGTAATGATACGGGAATTTTCCTCCAGTGACTTATTTCGCACGGTCTATCGGTAAAATTACGAATTCTTATTCACAGCATAGACAATGACATAAATCAATCGCCTCCCTCGCTTCCAGTTAAAGCTATGAGCATTGAGAAAGTTTTGGAGAGATGCAGTTTGCGTTGATATAAAACTAATCGTAAAAAGAAAATATATTATGAGTGCTGAACCACGAAAAGTCACTCTAGTATATTTGCCATGAAAAACTCAGGGGGTCGTTGTTGAGCACCCAGAACTAATATAACAAGGGGCATTGCATTGCCTCATTGATGCATGTTCAATTTCTTATATTTCATGTGTTTGCTACAAATACGCCCTTTATGAAGCATTTAATTATCCATATTTAAAGTGACGATCCTTTTTATTGTTTCTTATATTTATGGAAAATTAATGAAAAACGAGAAACAACTGAAATCATTTCCTAGATATTATTATAACATCTATCAACCTTTTTGTTCTATAAATATATCACCTTCGCCATGGGTAACTAATTTTTCTTTAAAAGTGCGCTCATATAATTTACCTATCATTCATCAAGCAAGGAGAAAAATGAGATTGCCTTATTGTTGAACTCTATGCAAGAAAGAGAAGGATGATGAAATAGATCCTAATTAACTACGTTTTATACAATTATCATTCTGATTTTATCAGTATACCATTATAAAATAAATTCCATATTATTCAAAACCGTATCAACTAATCACCGTCGATGCCCTCCGATTTTTCTGATTCTGAATCTGACTGCATGAATATGAGTTGGAGTCGACCGTGTTATGATATACACCCCCAACTTAAAAGTAACAGGCATGCAATCAAAATACGGAGTTGTCAAACCTTTGGAGGAGACTGTATTTAAAAGTCAGTGTTAAATATTTGTAATTGGAATATGATCGTGCATCTGAAATATTAATATTTGCCATATTTATAATTAACAGATACTAATAGAGCTTTTTCAAATTTTGTTTTTCAAAGACTTGTTTTGAGTAATAAGATGAATATTTTTGCAATTAACAACATGTTATACTTCGCAGGACTAAATCCACCAGAATCTTTGAAACCTTTACTTAATTTTCTGATAAAAGGAGCTATTTCTCAGACAAGTCAATTTGCCTCGAATAAATGTGTTCGCCTTGCCTCATGATCTATCTCCTTCGCCCAGCTTCGCTTTTTGAGCTTAGAAGTCACGGTCACTTGATACAAGACTATAATTTTCTCAACGGGACTACATACAAGGTGGTCGAAAAGGAGATATGTATACACTTTTGATTTTGAAACAACATTTTGCCCCATTACTGCTTGCAAACGGACACTTGGGATACCTCAAAAATCGGGTAGATGTTAACCATCGAAGAGTTAAAGAACAACACTAAACGTCAGATCAGAAGATTATCAAATACCATGCTAGGCAAAGTGTTGGACAATATCAGTGTCCGTGTGCAAGCATGCGCAGTATTGGAGCAATATGGAAACCTGAAACTATTTAAGAGGATAACATTTTTTCCATTTCAATCTACTATGATTTGCTGAGGTTTGACAGAAAATCAACAAATAAATAAATGAGAACAAATCAAAAGTATATAGCTCTTTTTGACCACCCTGTATAGGACGATCATTTTCTTGCATCGTATAAACCTGTATTTTTTAAGAATGTGCTGATTTGTGAACTGTTCATGGTCAATAGTCCATTCATGAGAATCCTAGAACAGTAGCTCACAGACTAATTTGTATCAGACTCTTTCCTCTCTAGCATTCCAGGACTGACAAATCGACTCTCTTTAATAAAAATGAACCATCATTCGTGAAATTGTTTATGTTGCTAAGCGTGTATGAGATAAGTGATATTTACTCACTACTATAAACGCATAACTGACGGACAAACACAATAATGCCTAGAATGCTAATAATATTATACGTTCTCAAGAATATACTTTTTCATCACTTTTTAATGCGAGAGGTTGATTTATCACAACAGGAAAATGTTTGATGTTTGAAAAACAGTTTGTCTTTCGTGATGATGCACAAGTGAGTTAGCAGCAGTTACAGAAGATCATCTCCGGGAAAGAGATATTTAAGCCATGTAGTTTCAGGTAGCCACAGAGCCCGCGTCGAGGCTAACAGATCCCACGATTTCCTACACAGCTTCGCACTATAGCTGTTAACTATCTATAGTATCTACTAACTGGTTCCTATCGGCACAATTCATAAATGATCGATCGCTCGAAATCTCATTTCAACTAACCAAGTTAAAACATCACAAAGCTTAAGATAATCGCCACTTCTCTCATAATTTTACAACAAATGAACAATATTGGCGTGTCCCATTGTTTTAACAGTTTTGCACTATACATTTGACAGCGTGACAGCGGTCCTTAAATATCCTATTGGAACAATCAGGGTAACTTTATATTTTACATTAAGACGTGTGAATCATGTTCAATTATCTACCAGACAGGTTTCAAGTCTCACGTCTACTATGTTAATTTGTTAATTTTACTGTCAAATTATTATTTTGGTAGATCGAGTCGTCCAGATTTCTATTCTGGACAATCAGTAATGTCCCAATATAATTGCTCATAAAACATCATACATACCTTAGATATATCTTGAGACCAAATCATAAGCACGATATCGACAATATATTGAGGATATCAACATGACAACCAAAAGAACAACCAACTGTCAGAATTGAATGCAATAAGTCGAAAACAGAATACAATGTTTTGGGGAGATTTATCTATATTGTAACCCATTAGAAGTAATAAATATGGCTTCTCTAAGCCAAAATAATCTGAAGGAAGAAGCCAATCAGACTGGAACAAATTTGAGCGGGCTTTTTAAATTTGAATTTGAATTTCTATTGATGTAAGTGGAAATTCATGGCTAGGAACAATCATCGAATTTATACTGTTAACGAATTAATTCAAGCCTCAGAATTGATAAGTTGATAAACAAACTTGTTTTACATCAAATAACACGAAAAAATCAGGGGGTTACTCTAATTGTGTTTTTAGGAGACCCGATCTCTTTAAGTATTAATCAAGTGCTCATATAGAGGTTAAAAATACAAAAAATGCTGATTGATAAGAATATCTTATTTTGAATTGAAACTGGAATACAAGTAGTATATCCATTCAGATGAAAATCCACGGTAAATAAAAACATTGAATCCTTCCGTGTGCCCCTTAAGAGCGCACTTCCGACAATATAGGCGCCAACCAAGAAATTTTGAAAAAAATAATGGCCATATTTCCCCATAAAATCAGCTTCATCAAATTAATGACATACACGTATGGTGCCTTTTTGTATGTAGAAATATGGAATTACATATGACTATGCCGGTAACCTTTGTAATATGCCACATAGGTCTAATATAGGTAGTATCTATTGTATATATCTAAATCAATTCAGGATCTATGTGGCATTGTTGGCAGATTGTTGCACACGCAAGTCTAAATGCCTCTTACACAATATGATCAATCTACAAAATATTAGCACTTTTACTTATTATACCAAAAGTAGATGGTTATTGATCATAAAATTGTTACAAATTGATTTGTTGCAAAATGTGAACCAGAAACAATAACTTATTTTGTAGAAAACGCTTTTATTAGTATTGGTGTTATTGTTGCTACAATTATAAGAGAGATGTAATTGTGGGTGTCGTTTCTTCTTTGCCCTCCCTTGATTCCTATACAGATCTATGATAATTTCAGAATAAACACAGGGAGACACAACGCCCTAAAGAGTAAGGAAGCATCATGACTCTGCCTCTTGCCCTGATAACTAATTCCCAACCAGTATAAGTTGGCCAGGCTGTCCGTGTTTATGTCTTATTATAGGCCTTCGTCTAGCCTCTTTAAACCTTTGACTTCATTAACTTCATATTACGACGCTGCCAAGTCAAGCAAGGATGACAAATGCAAGGTGGATAAAATTAATATTACCTTTGGGTAGAATAACAAGTACAGACATTAACAATTCCATCATCAGAACTCGCCCAATTGATGTCACGACGCTCGCTCTGTGTGTGGACGTCTTGGATCTACTTGACGTAGATTTCATGTTAACAGCTCCTCGTTCCCGTTCTTCCATTCCGATGGACACTTTATCTTCAGTCTCACAAATGAAAAAACACCATATGAATATGTTTCAATGTTTCTGTTTCTATATCCAAGTCCTGATTTTTGATCCAAAAGTATTTATAAAAAGTGACGTTTACACCTGTGAGTCAATCAAGTTTCAAAAAGTTCCGCTTATTAAAATATGAACCCTAAATCCTACTTAGCAGATAAATTGATAATGATGATGATGATTCAGTCATTGCTTTTGTTTCTGCGTATGTGTGTATTGTTAACTGAATTTTCTTCCAATAAAAATGCTATCCAGACAAGGTTTCTGCTATCCGCGCAGTCCCTTAATGCAGTATGAATCCAGATCCATCGTTACGTAAATGGTGTATATTTGCCAGAACCATAATGCTTTTGAGTATGTTCACAGGGTCATTGCACGAATATTGCTTCAACAAACAGTCTGTATATGGGTAATTGATGAGACAACATTGCGTTTGTTCATAAATAAAAAAATCTATTTCCATTGTATGATTATTTCGTTTCTCTGTAGTCAGATTTTTACCAAAATCATAATCACAAATCGCGATCGATGATGTTGAACTAGAATCCCAAGGCGGTATCGCCAAATCACGCTATTTTTCGCCTAAATAATGTTAAATAAAAAATCTCACAGTTTGTTTTTTAACTTCAATGTTTCGTTATATCAAAAGATTAACTTACTCAATGCGATGTGTAATGTGTGTATCATTTGCAAGTAACCTTCGCTTTTGTTTGAAGTCCAATAACGCTAGGATTAACCCTTTTGAAAACGGCACCAGACTACCATACTCTAAAATGTTAACTATTCAAACATTTTAATGTTATTTTTTTAATTTTTCAAAAATGATTTACATTTAAAAATGATATACTAAAGAGGTAAATGTATTTTCCTACAAAAGAATATCTTACGAGAATCAATCATAGCATTTTTCAAATGCTATATGCACTATGTTGGCTCAATGCAAACTTAAAGACGTTTATAAATAAGACGTGTTGGTGACCCCAAAGTGGTTACATATTGTTAGCCAAAACGTGCTTGTTACCAAAGTTTGGTATTGCCGTTGTTTGTAACAAATTGTTACACTCTGTGACTATTTTCAGTAATATGACAAAATGTCCCAACGCGTTGATAAGTTGATGGCAGTAGATAAAAATGAACAATTAGAAATCAAACTGACGTAGCTAATTTGCCATATACAGGGTGGTCCAAAAAATGGGACACTCGTATTTCAAAAATGAATATTGATTTTCTTGACGAAAAGATGTCATATTATACCAATGGATAAGGAATTTACTCATCTTTAATTTGGTATATCATAAGTGCAAATTTATTATAATGTCTGTCAACCAGCGTCCATAATATAAATGACGTCATTTTCGTTTCAAAACAGGTTTTCCAAAACTTGCAAAAAACAAGTTTTATTGTCAACTTCATTTACATAAACAGACGTTCAATATATCCATCATTTTGATCAATTGTAGCCCTCAATTTTGGCCTAAACTAGTCAATAGTATCATTGATTATATGCTGCTGAGACAATGAATTTCACTTGTCAACAATTCTATCCTTAGTAAGGGACTGAGTAGATGTAAGGGGTTCATGTTAAACCAATTCTGTTAGTTCTCCCAATATGTGGTTGTCGCAGACGTTGATATTGGATGATTCAATGTTTTTGGACCATTCTGATATGAGCTCATTTTGGGATCATTACATTTTCCAACAAGATGGGGCTCTAAGCAATAGATCCCACAAGAGTGTCAAATGTTTAAAAGAAAATGTGCCTAGATTCATCCCCCCCTTAATCACTGCCTCCCCAGATCACCCGATCACCCAACCTCTACGACTACTACGTATGGGGAGAACTAACAGAATAAGTGAACCATAAATTCTTTACATCTATTCAGTCCCTGAAGAACAGAATTATTGAGAGGTGAAATTCATTGTCTCAACAGCATATCAATGATGCTATTGACCAGTTTAGGCCAAAATTGAGGGCTACAATTGATCAAAATGATGGACATTGAATGTCTGTTTATGTAAATAAAGTTGACAATAAAACTTGTTTTTGCAAGTTTTGGAACACCCGTTTTGAAATGAAAATGACGTCATTTATATTATGGACGCTGGTTGACAGACATTATAATAAATTTGAAGTTATGACATACCAAATTAAAGATGAGTAAATTCCCTATCCATTGGTATATAACATGACATGTTTTCACCAAGAAAATCAATATTTATTTTTGAAATACGAGTGTCCCATTTTTTTTGGACCACCCTGTATGTCCTTCATTTCTCCTATTGATTTTCCACTTTTTGCGATCTGCTGTTGGGTAGAGACATCTATGTGTAGAGAGAAAAAACTATGTTTATGTCTAGTATATCGAAACTACTTGTAAAGATGGTGATCAGGTATAGCACTTCAACTTCGGGTATTATTGTATCTAATTCTTGAAAATCTTACAAAATCACTATGGAACTTTTTTAAAAATTTAATTCGACAAGATGTTTTCTCTCTAATTTTAATTTCTTTCAAAAAACATATTTTCACTCAAAATTATATTTTGATACTTATTTTCTGATTAATATTTTTTATTTGTACATGATTGGTTGACATGATAAGAAATATCGTGACTGGAAAAACAAATATATTCTTCTTCTATTTCGATCTATTTTCTTTCGATCTCTCGCATCGATAGGAAAGGTAAGGAACAGAGTGATTCATGTCAGGAATCATTCGTTCCTTCGGATGATATACTAGCTCATTTATTAGTTGTCCCTGTTTCTACACAGTAGTAAAGTTCCTCTTTGTTTGTAAGATACTCTGCACAAGGGGGGGGGGCAAATTTCAAATCCCCAAAAATTCTGTGCTTGCACGGAATTTTATTTTTGATAATTTGACCCGAGTAATGCCCAAAAAGGCCCACTAATTGAGGTCCTGCAAAACTTTTGGCCCATGCCCCCCTGGATCCGAAAATTGCATACGAGTGTAACCTTAAGCTTTTATTTTCAGGCCAATATTGACAATTTTGTCCATTCGCATTTGTCACGAGGCATCCTCTGAGGGTATGGAGAGAGATGTCTTCAGTCCCACACTTTACAACAATAAGCCACTCTTGGTTGTGATGTATAAATCGATTTACTAGTATCATGAATCCAAACTTGCCACATGAAGCTAATCTGGGCACATTTGTCTTTATCTCAGAGGCAGAGATAATATGTATTCTTTTCCAAAGGCAAGTGGGTTGTTTAATTACGAGAATCAGTATTATCTCATTTGGTCAAAACAGTTGTTAGGTTCATATTTGTTTTCAAGCCTACATTTTGGTTTTGCATTATATCCAATCGAATGTTTTGTGATTCAAGTTATTCCATCAATTGTAACAGGGCATCGGTTTACAACTGCTAAGAATAACTTCCCTTACGAGCAAAGGATTTAGCGATGGAGTTATCTACATATGATAACGCGGACTGTATTAACAATAGTTGCACAAAGATGAATTAATAGACTCATTGTGTTTTACAAAATATGTGAGTATATTTTCAAAACAATTCTGTTTCAGTGGAAAGAACAATTCTACAAAATTGTTCATATTTTGCAAGTTTTAGACGTAACAACACAGCACATAACTAGAGCTAACTCTAGCTCTCTAGAATGCCGTTATCAGGGACCGCTCTGTAATGTACACCACTGGTGCTTTGCTTACTTACCACGACCTTGATGTAATAAGAACCACGTTCACTTACCACTTACCAAGTGCTTACAGCTGAAACAAACTAGTATCTGTTGTAGTTGTAGAAATCATGGCATGGAGAACAAGGATTAAAGATAGGATTAGGATAAAGAACCAGCTTGGGAGGGAAACATTGGCTGAATTTATAGGTACCTTCATACTATTAGTAAGTATTCTTACACTTACTTACACTTATTCTCGGATACAAGAATCTGCATCTCGGATCTGAGGCTGGGAAACGTAGATCGAGCTGTTTATAACTAATTGAGTTGGCATATACCAACTGTGTTCGAACATAATTTGAAAGTTGACCTTTATTTGACCCTTATAAAAGTCAGCATATTCAAACTATTCCTCCCACCTAAAAGAGCTTTGATAGTATGCGTTTGTATTCAAATCTGCAAAAGTGCTCAGATGTCAGCTTATCTATAAGGCTATTAAGCAACAAGCTAGAGAAACCTGATGTTTTCATGGTTATATGCAAGACTGACATTAGATAATGCAAAGTAGGTCAAAGGTGGCTTTATTTACATTTTGTTATGTGGAATGTCTCATCAGCTCCAATAAGGTTCAAGTGGTAAAACATATGTTATCTGAACACACCTCCGTCTAGCCTGTCACACATAATTCTGAAGTTGCCAACTCTGAATATCTTGACAAGACTTACTATGGACCTAAAATACACCAAAATATAATACGTTTTAGGCTGTTCCAGAGTTTTGAAGTTTTGAAATTAGAGACTGTGCCAAGTTTTGAAATTAGATACTGTGCCACTTTAAGGCTGTGTTCTTTGTACTTTGCTTTACTAAGTACGATGTTCAGTGTGGGGTTATGACTAAAGGAAATAGAAATTACATAGCTTGAAGGATATGGATGGCATTTACATTTTGGTCATTTTAAAAAGAAATAGAGAGTAAGGTATCTTGAGATATGACTCGTGGTTATATTTATTAAAAACCAATTATTAAATCTTGAATTTTAGTCAATCATTAACAAAATTTGAAGCAAGCGCTTACACTTTGGTTCATTATGATTTATAAATTTACATCGTAAAGTTGCTGTATGTGTGAATGTAGCTACTGATTCGCGCACTAAGTTGGTTTATAGACACCACGCATCTATTTGGAACAAATTCCATCTCTTGGGTGCAAATAGCAGGACTATGATTATTAAAAGTTCATCTCATTGGTAGTTACATCCCATTGTCATGGTTTTCATGGGGTCAATTTTGGTACAAGAGGAACTCTGCGCTATGTCGAAATAGCCAATAGATCTGGGTCTCGGTCCATGGTAATAGTATTCAAATTATGAGATTCATGTTATTTAAATGTGGGTGGCAAAAGAGGAAAGGTCTCACTTCTAGACTTTCTTCAATACGACAGGGGAAGTGTGAAGTGGGGTTGGGGTCACAAGGGCTTTATGCATGACTAAGGGATATCATTTATATTTTGTCCCAAGGGGTCAGCCTTTCATCAACAATACGCATCTGCTACGAAGGAATTAGCAAATCAATTTTACAATGACAAATTGATCAAGATATATAGGTCAATTATTATTCAACAGATTGTATGGTCCACAAGTGTACTACGATTGCGAATCTAAACTACCGGTTGGACGTCCATTGCCAGTTCATCAATTAACAAACATTTGTGTTTTGCATGTTTATCCTCAAACAATCGAACCCAAATAAATTTGACTTTCATCAAGCTGTCAGTTGACTTATTGACGATGTTTTAAGATGTCTCGAGGATTCTTTTGACGATGTGAAGTACTATTAATACGTATCTTGAAGATCAATTTCTTACATGATCGAGTGGAAATAATGTTCTTGTGCGTTATACAAATAGAATTACGAGTGTCGAATGTGCCACTTCTCTTCTTATGAGTACATAGTACTCGAAGAGAGAAAGCGAGAAAACATGGGTATTTACTTTATGAAAAAAATATGAGTACTGGGTTTTAGGAGGAATGATACCCGATGGCCTTGGCCCGAGGCTATTAATTCTCTTTTAGACCAAGTACGAATGGTTCATCCAACTTAAACAGCACACTGACCATGAAAGGTAAATGGCCCATGATCCAATTTTACGAAAATATTCTTTTGCATTGTTTATGAGGTAAGTGTCCTGAGAAGTGAGTGGGTGTAATAAGTTCAGCTTCAGAGCTAGCTTGTAACAGGACAGGTACAATTTAAAATTTGATTTCTTTTGTATTTTACTATTCAACTATTGAATGATAGGGTGTAATTAGTTCAGCTTTAGTGCACTGCATGCGTCAGTCAATCGTCGTTTTTGACACACTGGTTTAGTAGAGAAAAAATAGAAAAACAATGCACTCTTCTTTGTTACAATTGTGTATTCTTTAAAATAAACTACAGTTCATTAAATTGTGTTGCTAAAGTGGGGGTTAAATCAAACAGAATATTGGTATTAACTTGGCATTTAGTTCATCCTAATAACTGCAATAAGAAATGGTAAAACATAGAGGTCTGTATGATTTCAAACGACAAAACTAAAAGTAAAACATCATTTCACAACGTAGACTCCTACTGCAACTGTATTATTCCAAGCATTATTTTGGATCGCCTGTTGTATAAGTTGAATGTGGACCTTATTAAAAACAGAATTGAGCAAGTTTATTACTTGCTAGGGAGTCTGAAAATTCACGAGGGGTGGCTCAAAAATGGCTAAAATTGGTTATATTGCAAAGTATAAACAAAAACAAATGTATTTATTTTGGAATCGTGTCATTTGAACCCAATCCTCAAGTCTGTTGAACAGTTAAAATGATTAAATTGTTTAAACTTAAAATATGAATGCTATCGTATGCTATCTAGAATATACACTCTCTTTGATTAGAATTAATACAATTTTATCGTAGATAGGATTCTATTTATGCCACAATCGTACTACTATGTATGCACCATATCACCATATCAACATTTTCGATGGGTTTTAATCGTCAGACGTTACTTAAAACTGATAACTCCATCTTTTATGTGTAAACAGTCATATTTAAAGACACATGCGAGTTGAACAAAAGAATTGTAACAGATCTACAAATGTTGATATATCAAAGTGTCCATATTGTGAGGCAACTTTTCCATGTGAAAATGTGATATTCAATATTATGAAAAATTTCGGAGACAAATGGTGTCTTTTCAACAAAATACCAGCACCAGTCCTGTTACATCTATCAGATGGTTCCGAATCCGAAAAAAGACAAAATTATTATTTGCAGTTGATCGGTGATGGCTCCGTTGCACAAAGTGTGCTTAGTAGAAATGCATCAGGGGCTTACCTTTCCGTGAACCTGGCCTGGGGACTAGCAGTTACCATGGGAGTCTTCTTTGCGGGGGGTGTATCAGGTATGTAGCAATAATGATGGCCAGAGTGGTTTGCTAGTGGAGTATGGAATTTATTTTGTATCAAAATTGGACAATACACGATCCATGTGAAAAGTCGAACCATATGATGCGACATTCGAACTATATCATTTGAAACTCGCATCATAATGTGCGAAATACGCGTCTGTTTGGTAATGGTATCTGGTGTTATTTTTGACATTTGATCTATCATATCTCACATTTGTTTGATTCTGTTTTTGTGTATGCGCCTGTTTGTTTGTGCTTACTCGTATTGTTTGGTGATTCTATATATTCCCATAGCGCTTAGCTTTAGGTGTTAGTATGACAACGGGGTCCATCGTGTAACAACACGAATAAACTTAAGTTCTTTGAATCGACTTAGATTTTTGTAAGTTTTGTTTTATTTTAAAGGTGGGCATATCAATCCAGCTGTGTCTTTGACCAATTGTATCCTGGGCAGACTCCCTTGGTTCAAGTTACTGCCTTATATGCTTGCTCAATACCTCGGTGCTTTCACGGCAGCCGCTGTTGTTTTCGCCGTCTACAATGGTAACTTTTTATGTTACGTAATTACTTTGTTTACTCAAGTATTTTTTTGATTACTTGTTTGTTTTATAAGAGTAGATTATGTTCATCTTAATGCAGAAATAATTACAAAATACAACACATGATGCAAAATGACCAGGAATGCTAGTGTAAAAGTGGTGGAGCTGCCGGCTATACAATAAGTGTGTTATCCTTACCAACAGCACACCGTTATATAATATTAGGCTAGTTACTTCAAAAAGTCTATAATTTTTCAATTTCTTAATTAGATTTCTATATTACTAGAAGTAAAATTTCTCAAAATGTCCTCCTGAAAAGTTTACTCTTAGAAATATTAACTGAAAAATATGATATTTTCCCAGATTATTTTGGAAATGTTCCAAGAAATCTGACAGATTAATTCATAACATATATGAATAGTAAATTCCATAATTGTCAGATGATGTTTTCTGTATTACAGATGCTTTAAACAACTTTGATGGTGGTGTACGAATCACAGGATATGGGGCAAATGCAACAGCTGGAATATTTTCTACGTTTCCTAAAGAATACGTCAGTACGTGGACGGGGCTAGGAGATCAAGTAAGACACGTACATTATGTTAAATGTCTGTATATAACTGGATTATGTAGATGATGAGCAGGTCGGGTGGTCAGCTCTTTTATAAACTTCTATGTGTCAAAAATGCGTATCAAAATGGACAAATATAAACAAAGACTAAACTAATTACAGAAGCCAGACACGTAGCTCGTGCGTATAGGTTCAACTTACTGACACTTCGACTTAATGAATTTTTCAACTAATTGGATTTCTATATCTATCTCGATATATCTAATTTCAGTCTATATATAGCTCATAACTTAAAAGAAAGAGTGTTTGGGATAATCCCACAAATGCTCTTAAACATATATCACCTACGGCACGGCAAGTATTTTCATTTGCGATATTATTTGTCGTGCAGTGGCATTGAATCAAAAAATTAATTTAATTGTGATATTTTTCCAGATCGTTGGAACTGCCTTACTCGTCGGCTGCATCCAGGCTATAACAGATAAAAATAATTTCTCCCCGTCAGACCGGGGTATCAAAGCGATCTCAATCGGGTTTGTGGTGCTCGCCATAGGGCTTTCATTGGGACATAATTGCGGTTATGCAATAAACCCCGCCCGTGATCTTGGCCCCAGGATATTAACATCTATAGCTGGTTGGGGCGTGTCCCCCTTCTCGTAAGTAGCTATCGTACAGTATAAATTGGATAACCGAGTCCGGTGTCATTGTTTTATTGCCCTCTCTAGTGGATATATCTGGCACTGTTTACCTTGTTTTACCAGAATTTGTTATACTTCACTTTTATGCTGCAGATTTAGAAACTACAATTGGTTCTGGGTTCCCATTGTCGGGCCTCACATAGGTGCTATTCTGGGAGCGTGGATGTATTTGCTTTTCTCTGGTATACACTCCGAGAATGACTCGTGGCAGAGTGACTCGTCGGACCTTCAATTAGGTAGGCATACATGGCTGCATTGTATAATTTTTGTTAACGTTTGAAATATTTTAATAGTAAATTTTATTTATATTACCAGACATATAATGCAGTCTGGGAGTCAGTTATAGCGCTTTTTGAAATCATATTGTTAAGAGAATTGCATGCAACTAATTTTTGGTTTAGGCTTATACTAGTATAACATTTCATCATTCTAAAAGTGTTTCATATGTGTTCCTCTTCCCAGTCATCTCTAATGTAAAACGAATGTAAAAGGAGGATGGTGTTTTAACTGTTTAAATGCCTTTATAATTAGATGCAATTAAAGGACCATCAATGGATGAAATCAAAAGAACAAATGAAATAAACGGGAACGTCAATTTAGCGTATGTACCATTATATTGGGTGGTGGTGTAAGTGGCGGTGAAGGGATAGCAAAATTGTGGCGTCTAATTGAGACACCATTACTAGTATAAACATGGGGGTGTTATTCCAGCTGAAAAAAGATAGCAAAGGAGATTGTCTGATGATGTGTTTATACTAGTACAGTATTTTTTATTTATATTCTTAGCATGTTGCACAATTACCTCAAGAAATAATATAGCACATTATATAATATCTGTCTCCTCACTCCGGTGCCGTATAACAGAAATTATGGTCCCCAGGATAACCGCCTCTTTTATATGTTAACTTACATGAAAATTGGAAAAAGTGATATCGGGATCATAATTTCTACTAGCCAGCCTACACTGATCTATTTTACATGTGACACCCATTCGTCCACTGCTTCTGCTGCCACGTCGAAGCTTGAAAACTTACTATAAAGAAATTAGATGTGAACGATGGAGAATGCAGTTTGTGCCTTCGTAGCGTTTCACCCCATGCATGTTTTTATCGTCACTTTCAAATACCTCAAGATTCAATATCAGTGGGGATTATTTTATTATTTACCCCTTCAAACTTGGGTTATTAGGCTAAATTTCGCCCCAAACATTCTTTCTTTTCGGTTTTGTCAGACAAATATAAATTCTTCTTTAACACGAGTCATTTCAGTTTTGGACAAACGATCGTGTAACAAAAGCAAATAATGACGTTTTACAGCGGCAGTGCAACTATTCATCTTGGATCTTCTATCAAATTGAGAATGTGACTAAATTGCTTTGATAAGGCCCCAATCACACCAAACTAGTTCTCAACCGTTCGTTCCAGTCCTTCGAAAAATCCGTATAACGGGTTAAGTCTGGCTGTTATCGTGAAATATGTCAAAAATAATTAGCCATTTCGTTCATAAACAGTCTTCAATACGTCCATCTCATTCGCAGTTCGCACCATGTCGGTGTTCACACGTATTGCAATTGATATCCGATTGCACAACGTTGTATAACGCGTCCCTAGTAGGGTTGAAGTACGGCAATTACGTTCCTGGTCTAGTAGGTCATCTCGTTTGAAGTACGTTGTCACACGATCTAATTACAGAACGGTATGGTCGCCATCGAATTTTGAATCATTCCAAAATTCGAAAACCACTTTCCCGTCTAAGTATGTTCATGAAGTTCGTAAATAGACCTTAGAAAGTTGCAGCTACGTTCATTCCGTTCACACACAGTTTAAAACGCAGTAGCAACTTGTTTGGTGTGCTACCTATATTTTTGCTAACTCGTTCATAAGCAGTCTTTAATACGTTCTTAATCAGTTTAAACCCGTTTGCAATTAGTTCAACCTTGTTATCAATATATCTTTAGATAGTTCAACTCGTTGTAAAAACGTCCCTAGTAGGATTGAAGTACGACGGTTCCGTTCGCACTACGTCCAGCTCGTCGTTAGTACGTTGTCACTCGTTCTAATTGTAGAACGTGACGACCACGAGAGCATGTTCTTAGTTCTAGAGGACCTACCCGTTCGAGTTCGTTCGATGAAGTTTGTAAATAGACAACAAACGGTTCTAAGTACGTCCAAACCGTCCGTGCACAGTTGAAACCCGTTTTCGAGAACGTAGTGAGAACTAGATTGATGTGATAGTAGGGTAAAGGGCATGATCTCGGTGTTTAGAATTGCAATAGTGCCGAGAAGTAGGTAGCTTTTCGATGTGCAGTCTTTATAACATTGCAAGAAGTCATTCTTTGTATTAGTCTTGCATGATGTCTTCCCCCTCTACCACATTGCTGTTTTGGGAAATAGGGAGTAATGGAAGGCAGGCATACTTTAGACCCTTATAATTGAATTTGTGTCTGGTGTCCAACATGATTAATGGCGTCTTTCAAAAATAGGTTTCCACTGTCACTGAACAGACAATTAACTTGTGATGGACTTAATTGCCGATTGTTGTTATCTAATCAGGAGATATAAATATATGATGTGAATATTTAGAAGAAGCATTGTCAGCTGAGCTATTTTATATCTTAAATTTTCATATCAACATGACTTGCGTATGTAGTTTGCATTATCTGAATTGACGTTCACTGTAAACTACATGATAATATCTACTACATTTCTTTACTCCAGATACTACAACGATAGGGAGTAGTGTTACATCACTTAACTCTATGAGAGTGGGGACATACCATAGAGACAGACCTCAGTATAAATCACATTGGGACAATGGAGTGGGCATAACAAAATTTTGAATATACTTGTATAATATCATGTATACTTTACTCATTGCATAAGTGACAATAAAAATATTTTTGAATACATAAAACGTTTTGTTGTTTTTGAATATTATATCCTTCTGGCTGTTTGGTAAAAATCGAATAGGTTGACAATTCAGGGCCTAGACAATACTGATTACATCTAACTTGGATGGTAGGCCAAAGGCAATCGAATCAAATTAGACCATCTCTTCACAAACTAGAAAGCCCAAAGAAAACACAAGATAATACATATTTTCACTTTTATACAGTCCATACTTCGTTTTATTATGTATAATAGATGGATAGATGAGATAGGGGGAGCCACTTCTCAATGCTAGAAAATAAGCAACAAATGGAGAAATGACCATTCAATAATAATAGGAGAAATATACATTTTATGTACTTTTGACTACTATTGAAATAAAATCTGTTCTATTCTATTTAGAGTTTTACAACATTGCCATATATCTTTATATATGTGTTACAAATAAAATTAAAAAATATAGTACCATGGTTTATGTTCTATGCAAAGTTATTGACCTCTTTTATCAGTTTAGTTTATTTACAATATAGCAATTATGATTGTGTAAATTACAATTATGTATGAAATCTATTCCAAGCATACAAAATGAAGTTTGTAGTTTATTTCCTTGTTGAATAATTTATCAACATTTTCACTGTTCATATAATAATCAAATTTATTTCACAAGAGCACTGATCATAATATTGATTTGTTCACTTTTTACACAATATATAAACTACACTTAAGCTTCTATGAAGCTAGAATGGAACACCATGCATTTATACAATGTTCACTTCATCCAAATATTCATGCAATTTCTAATAATCCAGTGAAAGCTAATAATATATTACATCATATAATACCACTTGGCTTTACAACAAAAGTTACAAAACGTTCATTTTTTACTATATATTTTTCTTAAATTTTACGATTTTTTTGTTTTTTACTTTTGTGAGTCACAGAAGAGAAACATTTTTACACACTGGAAATCCTGTGTGACCGGATAACCAGGAACTTTATATACTGTACTGTAGTATTCCAAGAATCCATATCTACAGCTCCTTATATGGGCATACAGGGCCCCGTATTGTACACAACACACATCACGGAGGATGCTGCACCAATCATCTTTTATATTTACAAAGTCCATCGGAAGGACAGACTGGAGCGCTAACCATATACAACCAATTAAAATCACTAGTTGGATCGTTTTCAACTTCTCATATATTTACAGCTACACACACACATTATAAGCAAACTTGACCAAGGCTACATATTACATCTGCTACTACGTAAATCATTGGGTCTCTCTCAACCCAGTATCAAATCATCTTACGTTAATGTTGTTATTATATTCTGGTGACTTGTTGGTGTTTGTCAGTCCCAGTATTTAGCTGGTTCCCCAGTATGTGTTGCCATACTGCTTGCTAACAGCTGGTTTAGCTGTAGATGGGGCCTGGGGGTTTACTCTCCCTGCGGCACCACTTGAGTCCTGAAAGATATACGCAACTCATCATTCCACCAAAAAGCACAAAAAGCTTCAAAGTACCTGTAGCACTATGCTCAAGAAGGGCAATTCTGAACAAGGTTCTCAAGGTTTTAGAAGCATACTCTTATATTGTAGTTTTTTTGAGCAAATATAAAAATAAAAAAAATTCAAAATATCGCACTGTCGAGAAGTATGTTCGTGTAACATTCAAATAAAACAGAGGTGGTAACTACCAACTTCAAATATGTTACAAATTCCATCATATTTACACTAAACTAAGTATTTTGTGTTGCATTGTGGGAACATACCTGCTGTAGGTGCTGAAGCTGCTGAGGCATCATGGGAACGAATGGGTAAGTGGCAGGCAGTGTTCCCAGGTGACTTTGGTTGCCAGTGGGAAGGGCTGCCATGTTTGTGTTGAAAGGGGGTGGAGTATTGCCAGCAAAGCCAGGCTTGTCATATGTGCCAGTGTGTGACTTGGCATAACCAGTAGCAGTCAGATCGGTGACATTCACACCACTGGATGTGGCAGCTGCTGAAACACAACAGGTAAACATCAAACACTCACCCATTTTACATTTTTGTCAAACAACATACATTTTGACATCTCACAATCATTCACATTTCCAACAGCTGGGTCAAGAGAGATTTTGCAGTTATAACCTTTGTGCCCATGCGACATGGTTGATTCAAATTTAGTGGGCAATTATATCAATGCATTGCGGTCATGAGCAACTCTACCCTGGAATCTGCATCCTGATTGTATTGACCCTGACCTGACCCAACTATAAAAAGTTACTATCTACATTGTATTAATGCTAATATTAATGACACTAGCACCCAACACCTAAACTATACTACACTACTCTATTAATGCATCTACTTCTCATTTTATCCTCAGTATGAATCAAACAATCCAAATAAACTCTGAAACAGCAACTCTTAATATTTACAGCTGTATTATTGTATTATTCATAGCACGGATAACCAAAAGGGAGAAATCATCTCAACCCAATGACTTTTACAGCCCCCTACCTTTGATTAACTTGAGCAGATCTGCCCTCTAAGGAATTTCTTAGATAACTTTTCATAGTTTGTCCGACACTCTGGCTTTTCTTAAAATTTAATTTGGCATGTTTGTGAAAAAAATCTAAACCCCATTAGAGGAAAGTTAGAGCTGGTCAAAGTTACCAAAATACTCAAATTTTCAGTAGTTTTGACTTGAAACGATGCATCCCTATGTTCTTAAAAAATTAATTTCCTAATAAATAATGGCTCAATAGTTATAAGCTCAAAATACTGGGATTTGCCAATTGTATTTCGAACATGTAAAACTTTGAATTCTTTTAAACACAACATTAAAAAGGATCTTTTGGAAAAGATGAATGAAAATATTATATAAGATCACATTGTATTAAATTAATTATTTCTATCAAGACTTTAAAGTTTCTGTATTGCATCTAAACAATGTAGAAAATGTATGTTATACTGTTATATATTATATGTTTTTTTGATTGCTCTGCAAAATTTTTTGATACAAGCACGGATACGCCCAATTACTAAGGGTGACGAGTGCACATGGTTTGTACATTATATTATTATATTATCATGAAATAAATAAATAAAAAAAAAATTGAATAACCTTTCCAATGATACCTAATACAACCTCCTATGATTGTTTGTTTCCAAGATCAGCAGATCAAGCCTTTGACACACTAGAACATAACTTTATCTATAAAACTATGGAATACTTTAACTTTGGAGAACGAATAACAAACTGGATAAGAACAATATATAAAGACAACACAAGCACTATCATCAACAACGGATATACATCAAATTACATAAACATTGAACGAGGAGTACGTCAAGGCTGCCCATTAAGCCCCTATCTTTTTATTATGTGTGCCGAAATACTAAGTACTGCACTTAGAGCAACAAAAGACATAAAAGGCATTGATATAGACAATGTGAACTGTAAGGTGTCACAGTATGCCGATGACACAGTGTTGTACCTAAATGACAAAGCATCAATTAAACCCTCCGTAGACATGCTTGAAAAATTTGGTAAAGTTTCAGGACTAAAGATAAATAAAGAAAAAACAAAGATAGGTATACTAGGAGAAAGTACCAGAGCTATAACAGCAGAGGCAGAAAACATATGCAATGAGGTAGGCACAAAACTAGAAAAAACTGAAATCAAGGTCCTGGGAATTACAATTCCATTGGATGGGAGACCTATCGGGAAAGCCAACTTAGAAAAACCTATACAGAAGATTAAGAATTTAATTAAAACATGGAAAGAAAGATCTCTAACGCCAGTTGGTAAGATATGTGTAATAAAGTCCTTAATTCAGTCCCAACTTTCATACGTTTTGACAACAGTTCCAATACCACAAGACAACACATTAAAAGACCTAGAAGATCTCCTCTACAACTTTATATGGTCAAATAAAAATGACAAAATTGCAAGAGCAACGCTTAGGAGAACAACAGAAGAAGGAGGACTAGATATGACACACCTTGAATCGTATGCAAAAAACCTAAAGCTAAAATGGCTGCGTAAACTAAAAGATGAAGATTGCAACAGTAAGTGGAAAAGAATCTGGATGAGCAAACTAGACAAAAACAGAGACAATAACATTTTAGAGTATAACATTGAAAACCCTTACAAGTCTGATGTAATTACAACTAATTTGAAAAGCTTGGATGAAGTTCTTAAAATATGGCATGAGGTAAAATATATAAAAGAACAGGATATTGACAACCCCTCCAATGAAATCATATGGAACAATGAATGTATAAAGCAAAACAAAAACCCGCTTCAAAATAAAGAATGGGAAAGGAAAGGTATAACAAGAATTAAACACTTATACCAAAATGGTCACTTAAAAAGTTATGATCAACTAAGAAATCAATATAATTTACAAAACCAGACCTTTCTCAACTACCACACTGTTATAAGATGCATACCACCAAGGTGGAAAACCCTAATGGCAAACACCAACTTACAAGATGACGAAGATAATATTGAGAGATTAAAAACATGGGACAATAAAAAAACGTACCAAAAGCTCAGCAAAAAGTTCAAGCAAAAGACCCCTACAGGTCAAACCAAATGGAGAGACTACTTTCAAAAAGACATAAAATGGAAAAAAATATATAATCTAATAAACAAACTGACAAAAGATACGAAAATGAAATATTTTCAATATAGGATACTAAATAGGGCAATATACTTCAGAAAAAATACTTTTCAAAATGAAAAAAGTAAAAACCCAAACATGCGTACTGTGCAATAGCAACCAAATAGACGATATAGAACATGGTTTCCTGAAATGCCAAGTGATGGAAGATTTCAAACAACAATGCTACAGAATCCTGAATGAAGAGATACCTGATGACCAAGCTTTTATGTTAGGATCTCCAAGATTGTCTCTCAGCCAAAACCTAGCAACCTTACTCATAAAGAGATTCATGTATATTAATAAATTGGAAGAAAAAACACCTACCATAAATGCTTTTCAAAGATACTTAATAAGAGAAAAGAAGGCTGACAAATATATTGCAAAAACACATGGACAAGAAGAATTGCATGACAGAAAATGGAATCTTATAAATTCAATGATAGAAAATTATGTATAACCCCCCTTTCTGAGCTGGAAACCAAATACTACAAAACTTACATACAGAGTCAGAAAGGGGGTAAAAAGAAGACCTAAATAGAAAAACCAAACTCTCACATTTGACCCACTATACTTAGATCAAGTAATTATAGTCTCTCCCCTCCCCTGTAAACCCCCCTTATATACTTTCTTATAATATGTATTATCATGTAACCTTATATTATAATGTAAATCTAAAACTTGAATAAATATTTAAAAAAAAAAAAAAAAAAAAAAAAGATCAGCAGATCTGCCCCCCTAACTGTTGGTGTAATTCTCTATAACCTAACTGTTCAAGGGTTAAAATCAAAGATGAGGTGGTTCTAGTATGTTTTAAATTTGGGTTAGATATGGTTTCTCCCATCAAAGTGAGTTATTGTACATATATTGGATGACAACAATCAGGGCCTTGTTCCAAACACATTCTAGTTGACAGAGTCTGTACACTTGGAATATCAATGTACATTAGTCTTGCCTCAATCATCTCTAACCATCCATCTATGTATTTAAGTGCTTCACTTTCTATGCCCCCCCCCCCTGCTTGTGTTATTAGTGAGTGTAACACAATGATCTGATACAAGACTAAATACATCCAACCCTCAACTAGAGTGTCTCTTTGGAACCTGTACAGTAACATCTGAAGCAAATACCATATACCATTTCAGACAGTGATTCAAATTTTATGGATTAATAAACATAACTTGCACTCCTCCAATGTGCCTCCCTTCCAGTATTTAGTGTAAGAAATGATTTCTAATGTTCAGACTTCAACAAGTGGGTGAACGAAAGTTGACAATGATCATCAGAATTTTTGGGGATTTAATCATTTTCAGACAAGCTAGCGCGAAAATGTTCATTAATGATGGTGTTTGCTTCAGGTGAATGGCCAATGTATTGTCATACCTGGTGATTTGTACTGAATGGTCTGTGAGTTGAGGAATAGTTGCTTGTTTCTATCTGGCTCACTAGAGCTTCCGACTGCAATGTAAACATGCTTGCTTGTTCAACATTCACCACATAACTCTTGTTAATAGCAACATAAAACCACACACTGCCCATGCTTACACTTAGGACATGGATTCATGATTTTCAATATTGTTAAAGAACAGACACTCACAATATTTCCAAAATATGTTGCAACACAGAATGATATGGAGTGTTATAAAGGTATGCATCCATGACATAAGAGCACTTCAACAAAACCTAAAAAGTCTAAAATGAACCCAATTGATTTGGATTGACATTCATCGAGACGTTCATATGAAGAGGTAGATACTGATATTGGCATTATTGGGGTTTATGTGGGTTTACCATAATTCTTACCATATTCTGACACAATTCCCAGTTACTTCAGTGAAACACCCCAAAGAGATACATAATCCAAATGAACAAGATTTATAATACTTCATGTACATGGTTCAAATATTTCACAAATGATCTCTCACAGGAACAAGATATAAGCATGAGCAAAGTGCCACTTTATGTATCACCACACCACCATAGTCTCTATCAAGCAGTCTAGACATAGTACAACATACATCACTGTAGGAAAACCAGTGCATCATTTTATATTCATAGTACTCTCAAAAAATATAATTATGGCCATAACTGTCTTGAGTTATTACTTTTAATATGAAAGGTTAATTCTGCTTCTTTTGTTTATTTAGGGTGGATTATGTTGTACTTAACAAGTGTCTAGCTGCCTGATCAAGATTAAAACCAAGCCATGTCATCTTGATACTACTCCATAGATAACATATGTGAAACCAAGTTCAACCATGATTGAAACATCTGTTTCACACAGTATTATGGAAAACTCTTGTATGTTTATTATGGTATATGAAGCACACTTCACTTGAAACTATCAAAACTCTTCATTTGACTTCAACTTCATCCATTTAATTACAGGATCAATAAATATTCAACATACACCATCGCATACAATTTATTAATAATAGAATATATACAATCAACATTCCTGTTACAAAACAAGTGAAAAATAAATGATGCTGGCTATTATTGAAATGAACTACAAAAGTAGTTTATTGTTTTGTAATCTAAGGAAATGTGCTTATATATAAATGACATATTTCTGTTAGAAGAAGCTAAGTTCTTAAAATGATCAATCTCAACAAATCATTTATCAAATGTCAGAAGTCTTGAAATTCTGCTGAAATACTAAACCATTATTTCGTGGGTCTTAGTTTGATACAGTAGAATTTCTAAAGAAAAAATCACACAAGATTCACAATAAAGCTACAGGCTCCATTTAGTACTACATGTACATTCATACATCTATGTTATTAGATTTATATCTCTCTCAATTCCTCTCACTATATGAAACAAATGTCAATATTGTGAGATACAAGGCATAGCTCTACTGAACATGTTTCAAGAATGAAGAGAGCGCAATGTGAACTTACAAGGACCAGTAGTGGCTTTAGATGGCGCCTGTGTTCCATAAGCATTCTTGTAGTCATGGCTGCTTTGTGCAGTGACATCATTTACATCATAGCCCCCTACAACATTCACAAATTTATCTTGACATTGCCCATTACAACACTAACCAATAAATCATCTTCATTTAAGTATTTCTAAGAAACTAAGAGAAAGGGTCCTATATTACATTTCTACCATTGTAAAGCTAAAATGGTGGCTTGATCAGTGCGATTCTGAACTAAAGTCTTCATGAAATATGCAGAAGAGCGAAAGTATATCATCATCATTTCAAGCCAATACTATTGAGAAAAGTCAGCAAATATTTTAACAAGTCCCACAAGTTAATATAATCTGGTATTTTTATTTATTTTTAATCAAGCTCCTAAACCTTCCCAAATGTCTGTTTAGCCAAGGGTCTATTTCTAAGATATATGAATTCCTTAATTCTAAATGTATTCCACTTTGCAACCATGGTGATACTTGAGACAATTAAATCTTGTGATTCACAATATTATGACAGAAGTGATGAGGGGATGTACAACACAGGGACATGCTTCTACTTTATATTGTATGATTCTTACCCATGTTACCACCTGCAGCATAGACCTGAGTACCTGATGCAGCATATGGCTTCTGGTAAGGCAAGCTGTTAGATACTGCTTGGCCCACTGTGTTAGTCACATTGGTCACTGGGGGAACCTGGAGATACACACAATATAACTATTCACACAAAAAGGTCATGATGACTAACACATTTATAAGACTGTCTCCCATACACAATTCGATACCTCGTATATCAATCCCTTATAGTGGGGCATCATGTATGCACTATTCTTATAGCCTGATTTAACTAAATTGCAAGAATATGTTGAGTATCAGAATACTGCTTTATAAGTAACAAAATAGATAATGACAGGCTCATAGGTTCATCAACATTTTTACTTTATTCAGTTAGATGAGGAAAGATTTGTTGTCATCACATTCAGCTTTTTTGTTACAGGGATTTTCTTCCTTTAATAGATTATTGGTGAGAGAATACCAACATGTTTTTGGCTTAAATGGTAAAGATAAGCATACAATTTGTCAATTCAAATTCTCTCATGCATTTGGAATTTGATTTCAACAATTTACAAACCTTAACGCTGGCCAATGCCTTTACAGTACTTTTGTTACAATCAGATTGAACAGTAGATTCTACTTACTATCATATTCATATGGTTGTAAAAGCCTGGGATGACTGCTCCAGTAGTTCCAGGGTAATAATATCCATAACCTGGGGGCAGGGCAGCTGCTGGGTTCACATAGCCTGTATGGGTGGCAGTCTGGCTCTGCTGAGGCTGCGATGTTTGTGCTTGGGGAGGAGATTGCGCATCTAGCCTAGGGGTCAGTTTAGATCCATCAGTGGCACCTGTGGTAGTAGCATATGCTGGATTAGAGGCTGCGTTGGGCAAACTGTTTTGGTCTCTTGATACACCACCAGCATTCTGAGCCTGTAAGCCTATATCATAGTATCCAGGGAGGTGCAACCGCTGTTGTAACAACTGAGCTTGGATGTCCTCATAACTGTACATTTGTTGCTGACCACCTGCTGCTAGATTGAAATATGGCTGTAGACCTGCAGCTGTTGGTTGTCCCATGATTGGATAGTTCCCTGGGAGCACTGAGGGTGGGATGACACCAGGGGGCAGAGTGTGTGGCTTACTTGACTGAGTCGTTGATGTAGTGGCTTTTGTTGTATTGATAGTGCTAGATGAAGCAAGAGTCGAGGAGGATGAAGTGATTGATGCTAGCACAGAAGATACATTCACAGAACTTGTAGATAAACTGTTCGTAGTACTGTTAGTAGTGGTTGTCAAACTTGTAGCGGGAGATGTGGAATTAAGGTCCATTGTGCCCTGAAACATTTACAGTACTTATTATAAGGAATAAAATACCACTCCACATTTCATGATTATAAAATGTTGGAATACTGTGACATCCTCATGGTTGAATGACATATGTGAAAGTATTAACTCATCACTAAAATGACTGAACAACTTCAATCAGTGTGATTCTGAATTAGTCTTCATAAATATGCAGAAGAGTGAAAGTTTCATATAGTGAAATGCCCAATTTTGATTAGGATATTTAAGTAAATGTAGTTATAGTTTTTGATATCTACAAGTCAAATTAAAAAATTCTTTAAATCCTGATTTTGCATGGATTAGCAACAAGCAATGAGGTCATTTTCTCAAGTTGTTCTTAACAAAATTACAAATTGTTTTGAGGAATTTAGCATCTGTTTCCATGTTTATAATTTCCAATCATTTTGCAATGAAATCCCTGGTTTTATAAATCCAGAGTACATTCAAGAATTTGGCTCTGTTAGCTATTGATAAGAATACCTGCTGTTGTGTTGACTCTAGGTTAGTATCACTCAATGATGCTTTAGATAAGTTCTCTGAAAGTTTATTAGTATCCGGCAGTGTCTGGTTGTGTGTGTTGGGGTATGAATTGCCATAGCTCTGAGTGCTATCCCTGGTTATGTCCCTTGTATTTCCAGTGGGAGTGGTCACCCCTTGACTGTCACTTTGATGAGTCAAGCTTGTTGATTGGCTGTCTCTTTGGTAACTGTTTGACTGAGTAACAGTTGCCTGGTAACTAGATTGACTGACACCTGGGGAATAAGAGTTTGAGTCTCTAGAATGGTAAGAAGAATTAGCAGGCTGAGTCTGAAAGCCAGGAGCAGCTGACTGATTCTGATACGAGTTAGTTTGACTCTGGGTCTGATAGGAGCTATTCTGGCCCTGATAGGATTGTGAGGAGCCACCAGAGTATGGTCTAGTTTCATTGGGATAACTTCCAGTACTGGACTGGAATCCACTAGAGGTGCCACTACTTCCACCTGCACTTGGAGACTGGTATGTGCTCTGACTAGCAGGGAAATTACCAGATAGAGAGCTAGACTCATTTGAATTATTTTGATAAAGAGAGGTTGAATTTTGGAATGCAGTTCCAGTCTGGTAGTTCCCATATTGACTTTGACCCGTTGATTGATTGGTGGCATTTGTTGGGTACGTTGGACTCGAGGTGAATGCTGATGACTTGTGTGATTGGTAGCTGTTGTTCTGGTAACTACCACCTGATGAGAAGCCAGCCTGTGTGTAGGGCAGTTGTGATGATGGGGATGAAGTGTTCAGAGATCCTGAAATGAATATTTTAAAATGTTTTAAGTAATATATTTAAAACCTATTTCATATTTATAGCCACATTTATTCCAAGTATATATATTCAACTTCTATCTCTTGTCTCAACATCTTTTTAATGACTTAAAATTTCTCTTTTGCTACATTAGTCTGTATTTCTTCAAAATGAAGGTAATTCGCACAATGCTCATTCAGAAAAACTTCTATCCTCAAGGGATTTTGGAAGAGCGAAAGTATATAATCATCACCATGAGCTTTATGAACAAATATTTTACATGCAAACATACCTGTGTTTTGAGAGTTTCTTTGTGATGAGAGAAGTGGCATACTGTTTCTGTCTTGAGATGTTGGGAATGGAATAGGCTCAGGTCCAATCTGAAGCAAAATAACACAAACGGTATATACATCATATAAAATGGATTTCAAATATTCCTACTATGAACAATGGAAGCTCATCAGTTTTAAACTTTTCTCTTCATATTTGCAGTAAGACGAGGGAAAGTTTGTTGTCATCATATTGAGCTTTGAAATTCAAACAATCAATCAAAGATGCAAGTTTCTGAGATTGCACTTGTATTGTCTCATAATTAGTGTTGTAACTCGCGGGGATTTTTGGAATCGAGTAATTCGCGTGATTTTGAGTCTGAGATCGAATAAGAATCGCGATTTTTCATCAAAAAAATAAACAAGAAAAAATCTTACCATTGCATGTCATATGGTCGTTTTTTAGTCCTTTTTTCAATGTTGTTCACTTGCACAATACCCTAGGTACGCTAGGTATATCAAGAGTTGTCCATATCAACCGATTTAAATAACATTCTTACGATTAATTACGACAAAAATTGAAATATTGTTTATTTTATGTTTCCCGCCACACATTGTTGCAGCACTTTCATTTCCGGTTCTACGGACTGAATTAATCATGGAATTAAAAAATAGACTCAAAAATATTTCATTTAAATTAGATTTATTACTCATATTCATTCAAATAAAAACAAATGATACACGGAACAATCATTTGTACATAGTTTCACCCTGTTTGTAAGAAAAAACAATGCGTTTGACATCGGGATTCGCTGTGAAATCGCGAATACGAATACAAATTCGCGAGTCTCAGACTCGTGTAATAATTCGCGAAATCTGAACTCATAATCGAGCCGAATTCTATAACACCTTGGCGAGACGATTCGATGACTACGTGAGTACTTATCTACACCACTAATCATAATGTACCAATGTGGGTTAATAATAACAGTTGATTTTAGAGAAAATACAGGCTTTGGTGGTGTTGGTTCAAGGTTGTTGTTAACTGGCCACAGTTGCAAGGAGTCATACCGAAGTGGCTGAAGTTCATACACGTAAATATGTACCTTGTTCTGTTGAAGGCCTGGTGGCGTGAAGTCAGTCTTACTGCCAGGTGGAGTGGTAGTTACAGGTTTCTGAAACACACCTGGGGCAGAGTCTGTTCCCATTGTGTCCAATCCTCCTATGCTAGATTCAGGTGTTTCCCTACAATATAGAAGATATAGAATCAAACAAGGAAATATTAATTGTTTGCTTTGTGTGTTGCGAAATCATGTCAAGTTGAAACAGAAATGAGGACGTTGATTTGAAATCTGTTGTTTAATTCACGTTTGAAATAATGAATTTGATATTTTTATGTAAATTTTATATTGTGGATATGAACAATACATGTATGTTCCTTTGATTTAATACCATAATGACTTTATTTGGCTGATTTAATATCATACTGCTGACAAGTTACCATCATACTTACACTGTAGTAGTTTTGGAGTAATTATTCTTAGTTGGTGTCTCACCACCAAAACCAAATGATGGAGCCTCATTTCCAAAATCGACACCGAATTGTACGTCACTAATTCCACCAATGGGGAGATGTCCTGGCATTTCAACGGCAGATGCAGGGATTTTTGATGGCGGGTACTTGATACGTGGCTGACCCTGCTTCTGTTGACGCTGAAAAGATAACGTGAGATTAATCCATTTCAAACAAACTTTCAGTTACCAGAGTATTCAGATAAATAAATATGTCACATTGAGAAAAGGTTCGCTTTGAGTGACACTCAATCAGAAACACTTCCATCCTCAAAAGATTTCAGAAGAGCGAAAGTATAAAATCATCATAATAATGAGCTACAAATTTACATAACCTGATGAAAGAATGGTGATTAAAAGTTTTTCACTAAAAAAGTATCAAAGGAACTAGAAATAAAATAAGAGATTGCAATTATCTATAAATAAATAAAAAATTCCACAAGGTTCAAGTATTTGACCAACCTGAAGGTTTTGTAAGCTGGCCTGTGACTGGCTGATTGACTGTGTAGGTCTCGGTTGGCTGACAGGTAGACTAGATTGGGAGAAATTGCCAAGAGATGATGTATTCAGAGATGACGTGTTCCCAGGTAGGGAGGAGGACTGGGTGGTGGTGCCACCTATCTGCAAACACAATATTGTATTGCTCCTTTAAAGTTACATTTTCAAAGGATCAGGATCATACAAAGGGGAAAGTTACCTTGTAGCATATCAGCCATATCTTCACAAAAAGAAAATACACTGAAGCAAAATATAAATAGAGAATATAAAACACAACTGAGTACTAAACGAGTGTGTTCTGGACAAGATTTATACCTGACAATGACAAAAATTCAATTCTTGACAATATTTGGCCACCTTTTATTGATTTTTATCATTTTCAAGCGGGTTCCAGACTGTTATCAAAATCTCAAGTGGGTGCAGTCCACTTGCTTTAATGCTAAGAAGATCATTGTTAGTTTTAAATTTGGACAAATTGAACATTTTGGTCACAAAGTTATTAATATGAATTGACATAAACTTACCCCTACAGCATTCTTAATGGTCTCAGTTGCCTGTTTAGCAAAGGCACTCATAAATTGTTGCTGTGCGTCTATGTTTGGAGGTTTACCACTACCGTCAGTGAGGGAACGTGTTTGTTGAAGCAGACTTGCTATTGGGTCATTATCATCCTTGGGATCCTACAAACAGAATCAGGGAGCTATCAAATATGTAGTAACCAATCTCTGCGAATGAATGGAACAAATGTAATTAAGCAGTGAATACAGGGCATATCTATAATATAAAGGCAGATTTTGTTTCAGATGTGGTCAAATTCACAACCCATTGCTTTTCATTGAAACTGCTGTCTTAAAAGAAATGTACAAATTATCTCTTTGAACACAGCAGTGTTAAAACTTATCAGTGGGAAATCTTTATCCTGAAGACAAATTCAATTGAATATATTAACAAAAATTGTTTTTACCAATTAGAGGTGACCTCTGAGTAGTAACCTTGACCTTAAACCAAAACAAAGTTCAAACCAGAACAACGGCAACGCCAAAGCATAGCGAATCCCATCGAACAGAAATGGCTGGCATTTTTACAAACGAATAGCAAATATCATAAAACAACACACATAAGAAAGGCCACCATTTTCAAAATGGTTGCTCACTAGCCAAGTTGTCATCAGAAGAAATAATATGCTTTTCAGTAGCCACCTCTAAAATTTTTCAAAAATCGCACACGTACTTGTAAAATAACACACATAAAAATGGTGGCCATTTTTCAAAATGGCCGACTACTCCCCAAAGTTTAATTAGAAAATGTGCCATTCTTAAAGTATTCACATATCAAATATGAACAAAATCGCTCCACTACTTTTTGAGTTATAGTAAAATACGTTAAAAGTGTGGCCATTTTTCAAAATGGCCACCTTCTACCAAAAGTGTCATTAGAAATAGACAGTGTGCCATGCTTATAGTATTCACATACCAAATATGAACAAAATTGCTCCACTACTTTTCGATAATAATAGTGAAATACGTTAAAATGGCGGTCATTTTTTTCAAAATGGCCGCCTTCTACCAAAAGTGTCATAGGACAGTGTGCCATGCTTATAGTATTCACATACCAAATATGAACAAAATCGCTCCACTACTTTTTGAGTTCTAGTAAAACATGTTAAAATGGCGGCCATTTTTCAATTTTTTTTTCAAAATGGCCGCCTTCTACCAAAAGTGTCAAAGGGCAGTGTGCCGTGCTTAAAGTATTCACATACCAAATATGAAAAAACTGCTCCACTACTTTTCGAGTTATAGTAAAATACGTTAAAATGGCGGCCATTTTTCAAAATGGCCACCTTCTACCAAAAGTGTCTTAAGACAGTGTACAATGCTTATAGTATTAACATACCAAATATGAACAAAATCGCTCCACTATTTTTTGAGTTATAGCAAAAATCGTAAAATGACGAGTAAAGGCCACCATTTTTCAAGATGGCTGCCATGTGCTTCTTTAATATCTACATTTGTAGCATTATTAATGTCCTTTATAATTTTTTTACATTTAAAACATATTGCTATAAATTACTGTAAAATCGGCACTAAAATGGCCGCCATTTTGAAATGAGCGGCCGTTTTGAAAATCAGCTTTCGAGCAGAACTTCTACCCCCATAAGGTATATGTGTACAAAATATGAACAAAATCGGGCCAACGGTATTTGAGTTATTGCCCGGACTGACGGACAGACGGACGGACGTACAGAGGCATTCCCTATATCCCTCCGAACTTCGTTCAATGGGATAATAACATAACATAACACAATAAAGCATCTATGTACCTGTAATGACTGGCTTGACTGGAACAGACTGTTGCTCTGTGTCTTGGGGGTTTGTGTGGTGGGAAAGAGATTGGATGTCTCCTGGGGCTTGCTTACTGGCTGCTGGAACAGACTCTGATTGGAATCCTGAGGCTTCGGCTGCTGAAACAAACTGCTCCCCTGCTCACTGGTCTTAGAGCTCCTATCTGGCAGCACATTGCTTGGCTGTGACAGCAAACTACCAAGGTCTAGACGCTGACCTGCAATTGAAGTATACATTTTTGGGGGTAGAGTTTCTAAACTTATCTATATTAAGTCACAATGACATCATACTTGACAGTATATTGCTCAATGTATGATTCTGAACAAAAACAATTTATATCAGGTGTGTTATTTCACATCATTTTGAGTATAATATTAACAATGTTTGACAAGAAGTTAAAAGAGTTAAACACAAAGACTGCCATGAAGTAACATGAACAGTGGCATCAAGTCCTACCTAATGTAGCATCATGCATGGCAGAGTTGTTAGTTGGGGCATCCAGTGTATTGAAGGGAGATGGAGCATTATTTGAAGGTGTTGTAGCACTAGCTGTAAACACCTGAGATTCTTTCAACTGAAATAATAAGAAATATGAACATTGAAACAATGTTACATCACAAGGCCAATGGAGATCCAAATTTTAATCCAACTATCTATTGTATACGGACTTTTTCATTTCTTTATTCAATATAGACCCACAAATGAAGAAAATTGGATACCATTCCTCATAAACTGATCGAGATATTTTAAGCAAACATCTTTTTGAATTATACTGTTGAAGTATGTTAATTTTCAGTTTCACATTTCAAGATGCATAGTTGACTATACATATACTGTATAGAAATAATCATATAGGCTCAATCAGTGCGATTCTGAACTAAAGTCTTCATGGGAATTGCAGAAGAGCGAAAGTATATCATCATCATTTCGAGCCTATGTCTCAGTAAAAACCTTTATATATTTTGCATCATTTATTTAACACCACTCTGAGTTCTAAATTTTGTAGAAAAAATACAGTGTATTATTCATTCAAGTGTCTCATTAATACAGAGTATGCATGTCAAAATGGAGCTACATTAAATCTAAGTGTTATCATTGAGTTTTAATATTAAAACTAGTATGGAAATGGTATAATTAAGAATCAATGTACTTACATCCCCTTGCCATTCATCTGCAGCCCAATCCTCCTGCTCCTTCCAGGTAGCTACAACAATACAACATAAATACAAGTAGTTGAAACACTAAAATAAAACATAGGGATAAGTAGCTTAAACAATACAACATAGTGGTGAGCAACTGAACGCAAGATAATTGTGTTCAGGATGGTGTCCAAATAAGGTTTAAATTGACTCCGTTCTTCTGCAACTTTTAGCGCAAATATCTTGACTTGAATCAAACATGAAAACGAATATTTTCACTATTTTGTGTTACCAAAACTAATTTTGACCTTCCATGAAAGAAGAAAACTGGACAATACCCTCATCTACTTGTCAAGATATATTTCCTGATACATGCAGATGAATGTTTTAAGCAAACGTCATCTTTTTGAATTATCACATTGAAGCATATGTGATGTTTCAAATTTAATTTCATGATTCATAGTACCCCGGACAGGTTGAATGATGCAGTTGTGTTTTTACTCTATATTTGCAATGGAACAACCATTCTCATCAAAATTTTCAAGATTTATTCTAGAGACAATTTTCAATTTCATGATTTTGACAGGCTTTTTTCAAAAACTTGTTGCTCTGGGTCTCATTTTGTGAAGTAGATAGAGGAGGTCAATCTTCTTGTCAACTGACATGAGTTCAACCAGATCGAACTGTTCAATACTGTCCAAAATGAGGTAAAACATTACGAATCTCCAACTTCAAGTATTTTCGGCATCGGATCCTTCAGAGATGTTAATATAGCTGTGTCGCATTCTATCATGAAATTGTCAGGGACACCTGACACATTCAAAGCATGGTACAATTAACATGCCACAGGTTTGCATGCTGAGTGACGGCGGTGGAAACCCCCAGTGGCAAAAAGGGTGCGTTATCAGAGGAAAAGTGACCCAGAGTGACAAGTTTTTCATTGGCCTAATGCACTTCAATAATATTACTGAATATGACAAAAATAAATAACAATAATCAGCCATAATTAATATGGCATCAAATATACATCTGGAAAGACTTTAGGCGGTTAAAAATTCAACAGTTTGTCAATCTTTGAAATGACATTAAAAGTTCAATTGTTCAAGCAAAAATCTGTATTTTATTGACAATGGCTTTTTGAATAAGAGCCTATTAAAATCATAAAATTAGGAATTTCGTTAGAATAATTTTTTCCATGTTGAAAATTGTCTCAAGAATAAAATATGAAAATTTCAATAAGAATGGTTGTTCTTTTGCAAATATAGAGTAAAAACACGACTGCATCATCCAACCTGTCCAGGGTACTAATTACCAAATAATAACTACATGAAATTCATATAGGCTCTATCAGTGCGATTCTGAACTAAAGTCTTCATGGGAATTACAGAAGAGCGAAAGTATATCATCATCATTTCAAGCCTATGTGTCCAGGTAAAAAACTTAACACCTGTTATGACTACAATTACAATTATAATACACTGTGAATTTCTTAATATTAATAATAACAATTAGATTGTCTTACAATTTCCATTTGTCTTCTTTTCTGTTGACATTGCCACATCATTGGACCAAGTCCCAAATGAAGTTTCTCCACCACCAGCTGTGTCATTTACATTAAATACATTGTTGTCGCTGTTAAAAACTCCCATGTCATTATTTCCATTGTCGTTTTGTCTATCAAATCGAGCTGGTCTTTCATAACGGCCTCCCCTGAAAAAAGAATATTTTATATTCAGTACAGGATATCAAAAGATCATTAGGTTTCAATTAGCGATTGAATAAGTAACAGAATCATAAAAATCAAAAATAATGACAAGTACATTGTTAGTGGTGCAGAAAATAGCCCTAGAGTCAGGTTATTAATGCAGCAGGACTCTGAATAATTGTGTTGACTCAGATTTCAATAATCTTGTCTGCCTAGTCTGTTTTGAGCAACTACAAAGACATTTTTCATTAACTTCTGTCAATTTTTTAATGTGTTGACTTCTGTTTTAGCAGCAACTAACACAACACAATTTTTTAAGCTCAATCAGTGCGATTCTGAACTAAAGTCTTCACAGGAATTACAGAAGAGCGAAAGTATATCATCATCATTTCGAGCCTATGAATTACTTGCATTTGACCCCAGATCACTTAAACTGAGATGAGAAAAGAAAGTATTTCTAAACAAAAGATAAATTATAATTAATCAAAATTACTGTTGCCTTAAAGTTCCTTAAACAACAGGCAATGTTTTTGAAAACAACAGACATTTTTCCTGTTTCCTGATGCTAATGAAATACCTGGAAGTCACGAACAATATGTCTGACATGATGAACTCACCTGCCCCTGCCTGATCCCCTGCCCCTTCCCCTGCCTCTACCTCTGTTGTCCCTGCTATCAGACCTATTCATATCATTCTCCTCGTTTTCTTTGTTTTTCCCTGTAACAAGTATTTGTATTTAGTACTCAATAATTCTTATGGAGACATCTTTAAAACATCCACTCATACATATATAATTTTAATTTTATTTGTGAGGAAGGCTCAATCAGTGCGATTCTGAACTAAAGTCTTCATGGAATTTACAGAAGAGCGAAAGTATATCATCATCATTTCAAGCCAATCATCTAGCAGCTCTTTAACCCATGCAGTTATTAACCAACAATTACAGACTAGCATTTCTTACAAAGGTTATACAATTCATGAGTAATACTCACAACTGGAATTATTTCCACCCCGGCCTCTAGATAACCGGGGGATATTCTGTACCATACCCCTACCCCGTCTAGGCCTGTTGTTTTCTCGGTCTCTGTTATTACTGAAGTCTCTGTTCTCTATATCAGGGCTTAGGTCTCTAGCTTTGTGATTTTGTTCCACTGTCTTCTGTGCTGGCGCCTTTTTCTTCTTTGTTGTTGTTTTCCATTCACCCTGCAGACATATTCAAGAAAATAAAATCTCAATTTGTATTTTACTCAAGAAGTTCAAGATAAAGATTAAATCCATGTGAAGTTGTCACTGAAACATTTAATTGCATAACGTTTTGGCCTTTAAAGAGTCAGTAAGTTTGTTATCCACAGCATCTTAATATGTCCTCAGCCAGAAATGGAGAGGAAACAACAAGGCCTTAATGTAAGTCTCTTTTAAGGTGCTTTTGGCTCATCAGTTTCCAAACTTTTCTCTTCATATTTGCAGTAAGACGAGGGAAAGTTTGTTGTCATCATATTGAGCGTTAAGCTTTGATATAATGATGTAAATACCTGAGAGTTTTCTTCCAGAAGCTGTAAGACTGCTCTATTAGCATCCTGGTCACAGTCGTGCAATGCTAGGATGACATCATCCATTCCTTTCCCAGTCATCTCCATTACCTAGCAACAATAAACACAATCTCTCATTATATAGACTAAAACTAGGACACTGGCAAGGAGATCTAGGGTTACCACATTTTCAAATCACATTCCAATGTGAAATCCCCTTAACAATATGCACTCACAAAATATGACACTTACACATTTGCTGAGTGAATGTACATTTCTAGTGAGGAAAAGTCCATGTCGTTCTGTTATCAAATGTTGGACAGGGTGGGGATAAGTATTCAATCAGTTTTCTAAACAACTGCATGTAAAATGCTACTTATGATACAATAGTAATCCCCCTGGTGGATATAGCAATATCAGAAATCTGCCTTGCTTTTGATGATTTCAATATATATTTGTGCAAAGAAATCAGTTCACTCATAAATCAAAAGATATTCCTGTCTCTATTTGTATATAATGTGTATAAAATATGACAATGTACCTCTTTGACTTTTTTCTGCAACTGTGGATCATCTGTCTCCATTTTGTCTAGGTTACCTTGTGAAAGCTGTGCTTGTCGCATTTGTTCTGCTGTAGCCTAGAGAATACAACAATATTTACATTGGAAATTCTCATCAAATATAATCTGTTTCAATATTAGCAGGCATACATGTAACTGTATAATGCTAATAACAACATAATGTGCATACTAATGAGTGCAATTAACACATTTTCTTTTAAGACTCTTCAAGGTGTCAGTGGCACAATTAGCTTTCTTATGAGTGGTTCATCAGTTTTTAAACTTTTCTCTCCATATTTGCAGTAAGACGAGGGAAAGTTTGTTGTCATCATAGTGAACCTTCCATCCTAAAGTCCAATGCATGTTAATGAAGAATGATGTTTTACATACCTGTTTAATGTCTGTTTTATTATGTGTGTGTGTCTTTGTTTTGTCTTTCCCTCCCTTTCCAGCGCGCATGTTGCTCGCCGTGCTCATTCTATACAGTATATACAAAATACTATATGTACAATATAAGATCTGAAAGTAAAATGCATTGAATGAAGATAAGGGACAATTTTCTTTATTCCTTCACTTGCTTTCCTTCCTGGTTCCGTTTTTTCGACCTAACTTCCTGCTTCCTTATTCTGATATCCATACTACATCTGTTAAACCTGATATCTTGTATTATCTATATTAGAACTATAGAGAATAACTTTATTTGTATATCAGGGACTATACAATTTATCACTTAAGTAAGCTGAAATAGAAACTTGATTCACTAGATTTGGGAGTTTGATTTCAGACATGACAGTCCTCCGTTGAATACCTGTTAGTAATATTGACCTAACTTCAGCATTCTCTATTGCATGTTTTCACTTCTGGTGCCTGTAGCATTAATATTAATTTAGATAGACAGCCCTATGGTTTGTTGAATATTGACCATCGTAAATGAAAGCATAATATGTTCAATTGTTCATTCATTGATTATATTTCGTCAATTATCAAGTGTTTTACATGTCTAAGGTAAGATATAACACTTTGATGTTGGAGCAAAATATTAAAATGATAATTTGTGTGACTTTGGTTGGTATGGATACCCTATACTATATCCTCTAGTCTGAAATTTTTTTGAAATTTGGAATGAAAATATTCAGACTATAGCCCATATATGTTAAAATTTGGGATTGAAAAATATCTGTTTACATAGGAAGTGCCATTCAAAATGCCCGACTGGGTAAATTAATTTGCATACTTGTTACTTCCCCTAGCTTTATTTCCATTTGACAATATGCTGTGTTACTTTTCATAGCATTTAATTGTACCTTACTACTTAATTGAATTGTTATCATGCTTATTTTTGGGAAGGGAAGTTTCCTAAAATTGATAATTGTGTGCCTGAAATTTCCTGTTTTTCCCATGTTTTTCCCACAGGAGGGACATAATGATCAATAGACTGAATTCTCAGGAAATTCAGTCTATTGGATATAGACTAATGGATACCCAGACAGGCCAGGAAAGCGTTTCCCGCAATTTGTTCCATATTATATCTACGACTGTATATGCCAAGAAAATGATAAAAACAAATATCCAAATAAGAACAAGGAACATCGAAGAACAGCATACAACGGTTGAATTTATATGACTACTGCAATTTGAGACAGCCGCTTCCTTTTTTGGCTTTGAGATAATATTTAGCCTGGTGTTCAGAATCGATTGAGCTAAGAAATATGTGTGTGGATAGCGATACAACACTCCTAATACCAGATGCCACTGCATGGCTAAACTGGATAGAATAATTTTACACAAATGTTGATTTTTATGGATAACCTCATCATACTCTATGTATTCCAACGTCAAACTTGTAAGCTACTATACGAGACAATTATGTTCAAAGAATAAGTAAAAGTGTTGTGAGAAAATCACAAGTGAATCATGATCATGAATGATGAAATGAAAAATCTGTCAAGAATTTGGCTCATTTTGAAGAATCACTCCTGGCTACTTTCGACCTATATGTGACTAATACGTCGATCCTAAGTGTCAAACGAGAAAAGAGGAATGCTAGTGAAACAAACAATCGCTTTTTAAACATGTTTAACGCGGTTTTGAAATCTCAGACGTGAGGAAGTAATTTTTTCAATGAACAAAAACAGTGAATTCAGAACATGTGACGCCATGCTGGAATTTTTCTTTTCTTTTTCCGCTCATATAATATAGTATACTGGATATTTCGACTCGAAACTGACCCAGGTAAATCTTAACAATGTTATGTTTACATTTTATGAGACATTCTAATAATCCATGACGTAAATTTCTATTAATTTGATAATAAAGCGGGACTACGTACCTGGTTTGCGCTCACAAAAGCAGAATTATGGTCACGTGACTTTTAGTTATTCGCGCCGCCATTTGCAGCGAAGATGACGTCACGTAATTTCCTCATTTTGGCATTTTAACAGTTTTAGCTCAAATTAAAGCAAATTTACACTATCATGATCATAAATCAATTGATACAGCGTTTGAAGTGATTCATCATTCAACTGCACATCTCAAAACTATAGCCAAAATGTTGAAAAGAGTAAACAAAGCAGAAACGAAACAGGAAAAAGAAAGGTCATTAAGTACATTCCGGAAATTACCGACAAGAAATACAGACCTGTCAACTTGTTGTACTTGTTGTCAATATTAAGAAAGTGCAAGGATCAATGATTCAATGAAAACTGTCAACATGGAGGTACACATCCATGATATCACACTGATATGATACCTCCATGCTGATATCAACAACAAACTAACTGGTTTATAGCAATCAAAAGAGAAGAGTCTAAAGGGTCATCGTGAGTCTTGGGGATGAGATGAGGGTCAGGTGGATAGCAGCTTATCCAAGTGACTGTTTTGCTACACAGATTATATTTCTCAATGTATATTGAGAAGTATCTGATCTAGCAGCAAGATTGCAATGATGATACTGACAAAAAGTGTTTTGGGTTAAGACCCGGCGTAAAAGAAATTATGGTCCCCTAGGGATTATGGTCCCCTTTCCTTATGGTCCTTACTGGCCCTGACTGTGTATGAATAATAAGGAAAATAATTGTAATTAGGTCACCATATAGATCAATAGAGAGTGGGACCAAAATTTGATAGGACCACCTACATGTACAGAGCTGTCAAGTGTCCCGCGAATGGCGGGATTATCCCGCGAATTTGACCAAAATTTGGCTTATTCGCGTGTCCCGCAATGTCCCGCGAATTCCCGCAAATGACGGCCTTGACCTCCGCGAATTTTCAAAATTGTAACAATCCCCGAGGCTAAATAATTGTGATTATATTGTGATATAAGAAGCTAAGGTTTTTGCACTTTTGAGGAGTCAAATTTACCTAATTTGAAAAGTGCTGCCGAACTCCCAGTGCATCAGATCATCGAAGACTGCTTTTGGAAGGAGCGTATAGTACACTTATAAAACTATGATTTTGATCCAAATAACATCATAGTTGGCTTCTAGCATGCCGTTTGGTATCAAAATAAAGAGGAAGAGTGCAAATTTCATTTTAATTACGGAAAAAGGGATGTATGTCACGATTAGTTCCAACGTTGGCCTTTTTACTACGCGTGTCACGGCCTTCATCTCAGAACTGAACAAATGTTAGCAAACGCGAGTTCCAAAATATAAATGTACACTGATATCTCGAAAAGAAACCTGACTCCACATAATTTGATGTAGAATAATCGAACCCCTATACGAATAGGTACATTTTGATATATAACACTATGGGGGTAAATGTTTCATAGTTGGTCACGAACGCCATAAGTGCAAAGTATTCACAAGAATTTTTGAATTTCGTGTCGGATTACGGTACTCACACCTAAAGCGTGGTTTTTGATAGTTTAATATAGTTCTATGCGTATTGTGTGGAATTGTGTTGACGTTTACTTAAGTTAAGTGCATTATATTTGATAAATCAGTATCTGAAAGTTTGATTCAAGAGTACTTTTACATTAAAAATCCCTTGAATGTCCTGCGACATCCCGCAAAAGGTGGATGTCCCGCAAAATCCCGCGAATTTAGGGCACTTTGTCAAGAAAAATTATCCCTCTCTGAAGTCTTTGGTGGTTACCCTGTTAATTGTCCCGCAAGTAGCGTGTTTGTCCCTCGAATGGCCCCGCGAAATCCCGCGAATTTGATCAAAATTTGACCTTTTAGCGCAATCACGCAAATCCCTTAAATATCCCGCGAAATCCCGCGAATTTAGGTGGATGTCCCGCAAAATCCCGCGAATTTTTGGAACTGGGTCTAAAAAATCTGTCCCGCGAGAAAATCTTTGGGGGTTGACAGTACATGATGTACCCTTTTACACCGGGGGTTTAGATGTAGGATTATAGTAATGACAGGTCCCCAACTTCTAACTAGTCTCAACTTTCGTGAAGAAAAATCTACCATTGTGAGTAAGTGTCTATTTTTGCTGCACAGTTTGAGGCATGGATCATATTTATCACTCATTTAGTTGGAATCTGTGGTATAGTACATTATATTATTGATTTAGGACATAAAATGCCATAGAATAAAATATGCACCGTAGAAAAGTAGAATTTAATCTATTATCGCCCATGTTATATTAGATCTAGAATCAAAACGCAAATTCTGGTGAGCAGTTCATCAGGCCTGTCAACTGTCCCGCAAATTGCGTATTTGTCACGCATTTCCTGAAGAATTTGAAGTCACGCCAGTTATTTTTGCGTGACAGAAAATGTCACGCGAAAAATTTGAGGTGTTCAAAATTTGGCAAGATGTAATAAAGTTTAAACCAAGGTGTTCAAAATTTGGATCAAGGTGTTCAGATTTGGACCAACGTGTCCACATTTTGAGGGGAGGTGTTCAACATTTCCAAGTCACTCATGTTAGGTGTTCCCAAGTTGACAGGCCTGTAATTGTCAAGCAAAAATGTTTCTGTAGAAAAATTTCTAAAAAAGTTCGTCTACACAGCAAAAATACGAACGCCGAAAAAAAACGTACGCATTTCGTTCGGACTTTTCACGCGAATTACATATATGTCACGCATTCCGTTCGAAATGTTTTGTACCTACCCCCCCTCCCCCCCCTGTTGATGGACATTTGAAACGCGAGCGTAACGAGCGCGAAAAATTTGAGGTGTTCAAAATTTGGCAAGATGTAATAAAATTTAAACCAAGGTGTTCAAAATTTGGATCAGGGTGTTTAGATTTGGACCAAGGTGTCCACATTTTGAGGGGAGGTGTTCAACATTTCCAAGTCACTCATGTTAGGTGTTCCCAAGTTGACAGGCCTGGTTCATATGGTTAAAATAATGAAATGTTACCATGTGTCTACTTATTAGTTTGTTCTATGTCCTCCATCCTGCTAGGTTACATTGTGGAACTCAGCCAAACACGACACGTTTCACGATTCACGACACTGAAGGCAGTATTCTGAGGTTATAAAATGTTAATCTAAAAAATTTCCCACTTGCAGCCCCCTGGAGATTTCCGGAATTGAAAAAAGTAGCGAACGTTGCGATCTTTCAACTTTAGTTCGTTGTTTTTCACCACTTTATGTGTAGTGTTTTCATTTAGGTGGTCTTATTTGAATGCATCATTTCAGGTCTTTATGAATCAATAGATCAATAAGCAGACTAAAATTACAATTCAGCAGTTTCGTTGAAGAAATCTGATTTGAAATACCCAGTGACTTTAGCAGCCCTCCCTACAATCTTTGACATTGCTATCTCGGCGTGTCCTCTTCTATAATCAGTAGCAAATGCTCGCATAACATTTTCCAAAATATTTACTACTGTTTTCCTTGAAGACATGGTTGGGTGACACGTCAATAAGTCGCATGATCCATACAGTAACTAGTCACGTGATCAGACACGTGTCACGTGACCAGTCACACGAGCTTGCAAAATGGACGATCTAAATTTCAAAATATTCTGCTAAGATTAATAACGATATATTGTTGCCTTCATCGTCATGTTTGGCTGCGTTCCACAATGTAACCTAGCAGGATGGATGACATAGAACAAACTGATAAGTAGACACATGGTAACATTTCATTATTTCGTTATTTTAACCATATGAACTGCTCACTAGAATTTGCGTTTTGATTCTAGATCTAAGGTTCAGCTGGAAAGTAACATTTTGGTAAAAAATTGCTCTACCTGCACATGTTATTTTCTGGTACAAAATTAAGTATGAAGACATGTGTGTATTTCCTTGCTTTTTTCAGGAATGTATCATTACACTGTCTACTTTTAGTAAACCTGGAAATGGGTCAACGGTAGCTCCTGTGTTGTCTGGAAACTTTGAAAGAAAATTTGGAAAAATAGAAAGTGTGAAATATCAGAATTTCCTGGAGTTCCCATTGAACTCCTACTATATTCTAAAAGAAGACAATGTAATGATACTTTCCTGAAAAAAGCAAGGAAATTGACACATGCCTTCATACTTTATTTTGTACCAGAAAATAACATGGGCAGGTACCAAAATTTTTTCATGAAAAAATCTGACACGGTCATAATTCAGTCTTATCTTATTCTTATTAAAATATACTCCCATAAATGTAAGGTTATTTTGAGGTTCTTTATTATTTTTGACATTTTTTCTTAAAATAACCTCACACCGAATAGTATTTTGATTCTTTGGGGAAATTGATCAGATGATTTGAAGGTTGAAGTCCTAAAGATATCGGCAATTTCAATGTAATGTGTGATCGATCAACCGAAACAATGCTTTATAACGGTAACAGTTGCACACTGATATTTGACACTTTGAACCTTGCATAACTTCTTTCGTTTTTACTTCTTTCACGCAAATCACGCATTATGTTGATATTTAAAAAATGTACTTTTTATAAAATGCCGATACAGTAGAAAAACAAATGTCGAAAAAAGGCAGAGTCTGAAAAAATCACTCACCTCGATATTGAAGAAAGAAGTTCCACTTTTGATTGACTGCAAGAGCAAAATTCAAGTTGAGCTTAAAGGTTTTTGTTAAGTGTGATATTAACATCGTTTTAGGCTAACTAATTTTGCACCTGATAGAGAGCTCAAAATCAAATCCAAAGCAAAATTTGAAATAATTAAAATATTCCACACGGACCTCAGAGAAAACAATTCCGGTTTTATGTTTTACAAATTTTTTCGATATCTGCTGAATGTATACTTGTTGATTGTTAAATTACAAAATAGGTAGGGTAAAGAATATGTAAAAGTCGTTTGATCTTGTCCCAGAAGCAATATTTTGTTATTTTTATCGTCTAGAATTCCTTTAATTTGGCAGATTTGCTCAATTTCAAATATTGGCAGCGATTTAATTTGGCAGATTAAGGACTGAAGTTTAATTTGCCAAATTCATGTCTGAGCTCAAGTTTTATCTTTGATCGGGCAATAAGCTTCTTCAGATCATGTGTAGGCTACTATTTTCAGTAATAAGGCGAGTAAGTAAAATAATGTAGAATTGACATTCTGACATAATTTTGGGAAAATGAGGCCTGGAATTTTAGTGCAAATAGTGCAATCATGGCAATTGCCCTTGATGTTAAGGTGGTTAGCCTGGTAATCATTATGATTTTCATTACCTTCTTCAGGCATTCACCAACCATGAAGAATGTGTTTTGTCAATGGAGTTCTATGTCATTATATTCTTATAAGTAATTATGGGCCTTATGCATATGGAAAAAACATATGGACATATCACATATGACATAAATTTTCTCAATTTGATTTCTTTTCAGAAAATGGTAAAGGTCCAGCTGAAAGATGTGGTGTTGAGAAAGTACAGATTCACTGACCAGACATCAGTATGGCGAATTTATGAGAAAATAAGAACTGAACATAGGAAAACAATGTATATCAATGCATTGAAAAGCTGGAAAACGCAACTTGTATGCATGATATTATTAACTCTAGGAACTGCTATATCTAAGACAATGTTGGTTGGATATGCTTTGGGTCTTGCCTATTTAGGTCTAGTCATATACTCATGTTACAGACTACATGTGTTTTTGTGCTCTGTTGATAATGACCTTGCAAGGATAAATCTGGACTATATGAAACAGGGAGGACATTTTCTGATAGCCACTTACCATAAACAGATTATTGGCTTTGTTGGATTAAGTAGCAATGTGGATAGTGATGATGAAGGGGTTTTTGAGCTGCGTCAGTTGTGTGTGGATAAGGAATATCGAAGACAAGGAGTTGGAGAAAAACTTCTATACACAATAATAGAGCATGCTAATTCTTTACCAAACTGCACTAAATTGGAATTCACCATTGAACCCAATGTTTCTCCTCTGGGCATTTTTACAAAGTTTGGATTCCAGCACAAGTTAAATATATGGTTTGGATATCATGTACATGGTCTGGCAACAATGAAATATCAAAGATACCAGATGAAGATGGAGTAGAAATTACTATCAGTGAGGAAATGCCTAATAAATTGGTGAATGATGATTTACCACCTACATGTATGTAGATCAGATCACTCTCAGTACTAAATTGTATGGGATGCTTCAGTAGATGTCCAAACTTGTTTAATACACTTTTTGCCAGGATAGTAGAATCCAAACAAGATTATGTCCAGTGATCTCCCCATCTACTTGAACATTTGAGAATGGGCATGTACCTCCTGAAAATCTAATTGTACGAACTTGAAAATGAGAAAAAATGGGAAGTGGTATATTCTATATTGGCCAACTTTGGTCAGAATTATGGAAATGGGAATTTTGTTCCAATTTGAGGAAAACATCCCAGAGAGAGCTCTGGATTCACATGCCTTAGAGTAGACACATCATATGTTTATTAATTTGCTTTATTATAGCAAATATTTTTTTTTGGGTCCCTTATTAGCCCAAATGGGTGAGCCATTGTTATTATTTATATCTTGTCACTAGACTCATTTATGTTAGGTGTCACAATAGGATGAATCTCACCATTTAATATGATTGATAATCGGTAGACTGTAAATCTAGTAAATCTCGTAAATCTAGTAAATCTAGTAAATCTAGTAAAATCTTGTAAAATCTTGTAAACTTTTTAGGGACCATTCATTTGATATCAATGTCAGTCTCTATGTAAGAGTATTGGTGATTATGATTCCTTTTACGACATTAGAAAAATACCTTCTCTGCATTAAAATTCAGAGTCATTCCTTTCATCAAATAATCAATATACAATTTTTTTAACAAAATTGTGAAATATTATAATAAAAAAGAATGTTTAAGGGGCTGATATGATATGGCTTTAAACTATTAATTACAAGGAATACAAGGAACATATCATCAGCAAAACGTAAATGGAAAGCATTGTAGAAATGCCATACTATACTTTATGTATAGGTAAAGCAAATAGATCAATCAGTAAGTTGTCTCCCTAGATTCCCCTTACCACAGCATTTGATTGTTTTTTTATTATTTTTTTGGGGTTGGCAAAAATCAATTTTGAAATTGCCATTTATCCATTCCTCTCACATTGGAACTTCTACAAATATTGTCAATTGAACAGCATCGCCAAAAAATAAGCAATAACTAAATTATTTGATAGGCTAAGCATTATAACATTTTGTGAGGGAAAAACAAGCCTGTGTCATTTAGATGGTACGCATTGTCCCCCCAAGTCCTTAAATGTATGGCTTAATTTGTTAATAGAGCATGCTTCTTGGGTGGGTTGTGTGTGATGATAAAATGGGTGTACCATTTGATAACCATTTTGTTATCCAGTACTAACATATAGTTGTTTTGTAACTAAATATAATGAAATAAAAGGTAGAATTTTTTCTACATATTCATTTCATTCATACAAAGGCATTTTCAGTGCTTTTTCAACATTTGCACCTATATCTTAGACATTGAATAATCAAGTTTTTACAAGATTTTACTAGATTTACTAGATTTACTAGTTTTACTAGATTTACAGTCTACCTTGATAATCATGTCATTTTCAGCAACTATGAACAGATGAATCTCATGAACATATGAATCTCATGAACATATGAACTTGTACAGGATGACCTGAACAATGTAAACCTCTAATTTTGAAATAACTTGGTGGAATCCTGTTGGTGTACTTAAAGTTTCATCTTAAGCACTTGTGATTTCTCTAAATTTCAAAGTCATAGCTGCAATATAAAAATTCCACTGTTTGCTCCATTGAACACATTATCTGCACAAGAAACCTGGGTTCCAAAAAATATTCTGAATTTGATTAAAAATTATAACAGTGTTCACATAAACAAATACAGTAAATAGATTGGGCTTAAAATACACTCCCCTCCATTGGATTATGAGCTAAAGCCTATTTATGTTTGAATTTTTATCGCACCCTAAGGTGCTATATTGTAATCAGTTTGTCGGGCGGGTGTCCCGGATAATCTTGTCCACAGCTTTCCAGCCAAACCGTTTGAGGGATTCATTTGAAATTCTCAGGGATGTTTCTACCTATGAACCTTTAGAACTGATTAGTTTTTCGGCATTCTGGGTAAATGTTAAGGCGGCCATTTTAGATTTTCCGTCCTAAAATCTTGTCTGTTAAGGCTTCTCTACAGGTTTCCAGCCAAACCGTTTGAGGGATTCATTTGAAATTCTCAGGGATGTTTCCACCTATGAAAGTTTAGAAGTGATTAATTTTTCGGCATTCTGGGTAAATGTTAAGGCGGCCATTTTGGATTTTTCGTCCTAAAATCATGTCTGTCAAGGCTTGTCTACAGGTTTCCAGCCAAACTGTTTGAGGGATTCATTTGAAATTTTCAGGGATGTTTCTACCTATGAAAGTTTAGAACTGATTAGTTTTTCGGCATTCTGGGTAAATGTTAAGGCGGCCATTTTGGATTTTCCATCCTAAAATCTTGTCTGATAAATGTTAAGGTGGCCATTTTGGATTTTCCGTCCTAAAATCTTGTCTGTCGAGGCTTGTTTACAACTTTGATCTTAGATCATATTGTAGTAAAATGAGTTTCTAGAGTATAGTATTTAAGCTTCGAGTATTGTCAATAACAAGGTTATCTGAACTCAAGAGGTGTGTCACTTGTCTCAGGAAAATCTGAACTGTAGAAAAAAAGCTGATACACCATACCTGCCAACCTACCATATTTTTACGGGAATCTACCGTAAATTTTTCGTTTTTCCGTAAAAAAATGACAAACTACCGTAAAAAAATACCATCTTTTTCCCGTAAAAACGCCCGTAAAAAAATCTACCGTATTTTTTTCGAAATCTACCGTAATTTTTTTTTTTTTAAAAACTCGTTTATTCCATGAGAACGGCAGTAAAATCTACCGTAAACTTTTGAAAATCTACCGTAAATTTTCGAAAATCTACCGTATTTCTGCTAAAATCAACAGTATTTTTGTTCAAACTACCGTAAAATTTCCCGTTATTGTTGGGAAATGCTGAAAAATGGAAGTCTTCCTGTACTGTCCCTGTAATATTTCTTCACCAACCCGAATATAAATAGGTATCGGCAGGTCTGTGGTTATCAGGTTATTGCGCATTTATCTAAGTAAGCTTGCGTGTAAGCTTGCGTCCAAACACCAACTACCACTAGCTAGAAAGAATTCGTTCTGCCATGATTTTTGTAGTTAACCAAACCCTTTTGTACACAGATATGAGCGTAGCGCCTATTACGCAAAATACGCACAGGCGTACCAAATAAATTTGAAAAAAATAAAAATTTGTTAAAATGCATTAATTTATTTGCGAATTTATTGATGCTTCCTACCGTGTCTGTATTTTTACGATTGTCAACATTTAAAGTTGATAAAAACGATTCCATCAAATAACGTACTTGAAAAAATATTTCCCGGGGAAGCAAATCGGCCACGCAATCAGGCATCCCGTGTGTGCGTACCGACTCAAAATATTGTTTTAGCGTATGAAATATGCGTAGTTTGATTTGTTAAATCAATTTGTTTACAGTACGATAAAATGTTGTATTTTTCATCAGAACACATTATATCAGTAACAAATACATAATTAAAAAATAAAGCATTGAGTTAGGGTTTATTATAAAAGTATTGTGATATCCGAATCTGAACGATGTCTCAGAGGAAAGGTTTCAGCAAATGCTCATAACAGATTATTTTTGAAAGACAATTGATCTGTACTTATTTTCTATTTGTGCCAGACAAACACATTGATATCATTAGAGACTTGCGAGTGAACAAATCAATATTTAATACCATATGATTCCAATGTTATATGAACATTATGTATGTCATTTCAATTCGTTAAAGTGATAGATCATCTAAGATGATGAGTAAAAACGTGTAAAATCCATATTTTGTATTTCAGTAAATGTTTCATTGGTATTTCCAAACATCCTGATATCTAAAAAACTGGTTAGAAGGTGAATAAAAGTGGAGATATGAATATTGTGTTCGTATTTTGAATCAATCTAGATTTATTGTAAAAGAGTTGTATTCATATACATGTACATTTTGCTGAAACATTAAAATTCAAAGTTGCTGTCAGTCTATTGTAGGCATGGTAAATGAAGAATAAAAAGTGTTTAGTCTCTATTTATTCTTGAAAATAGTATATCTATTTTTTCTTGAAAATAATAGTTTCGTATAATTCTCAGGTGGTAGTTCTGCTTTACAAACTGTAATTATCAAAAGCACTCTTGCAGTAAAATATATATTCACAATAACAAAAACAATATGACCACGTAAACATTGTATTAATATAGAAAACCGCATTGTATAAAGGTTTAACTACCGCATTTTTCAAAATCTACCGAAAAATACCGCATTTTGGCAAATCTTTGGCAAGAGTACCAGTTTTTCAAAAAATTACCGTAAAAACTACTGCAAGTTTCAAAATCTACCGTAAAACTACCGCATTTTTTCAAAATCTTCCGCAAAAGTACAGTTTTTTCCAAAAATTACAGTAAAAACGACCGCAATTTTCGAAATCTACCGTAAAACTACCGCATTTTTTCAAAATCTTCCGCAAAACTGCCGTTTTTTTTTAAAAAACTACCGCATTTTTTCAAAATCTACCGTAAAACTACCCCATTTTTCAGAATCTTTCGCAAAACTACCGGTTTTTCAAAAAAATTACCGTAAAAATTACCGCATTTTTTTAAATCTACCGTAAAACTACCGCATTTATTCTAAATCTTCCGCAAAACTACCGCTTTTTCAAATTCCTACCGCAAACCTCTGAAACTACAGTATTTTTTAAAATCTACCGCAAAAACTACCATATTTTTTTAAATCTACCGCAAAAACTACCGTTTTTTAAAAAATCTACCGCAAAAACTACCGTTTTTTTCTAAAATCTACCGCAAAAACTACCGCAATTTTGTTGAAAAATACCGCAAAAACTACCGTATTTTGAAAAAATCTACCGCAAAAATACAGCAATTTTAAAAAAATCTACCGCAAAATTTTGGTCTTAGGTTGGCAGGTATGTACACTGTGAAGTAATACCATAAAACGTGTCTCTTGAGGGTTGTTTACAGGTTTCATGGATTCATTCTAAAATTTTAGAGATGTTTCTATGGAAAGTTTAGAACTGATTAGTTTTTAGGCAGTTAAGGTGGCCATTTTGAATTTTCCATCCGGAAAATTGTATTCTGTTCAAGGGTGCGATTCTGTTCACCGTGTGGCTTATTATTTCCATATACTCTGTAAAGAAAATAATACTTTTAGGGCTTGAAATATTAATTGACATTATTTCAAATACCTCAAATTTTTTTCAATTGTTTTCAACAATAACAATAGGTCAGATATTGATGACAAATTTGATGAAGTTTTGAAAATTGTCATTCCCATGTAAACCAATGGGAAATGGTAGGTTTGTCACAAGTCATGTGAAAGAATATTCATCT